CACTTGTGATACTATACACCTGTATACTATACACCTGTAGCATCTGGGCGCACCAGAACTTAGAAGATCATGAGTTCAAGGCCAGGGCCAACCTGGTTTTTTTTTTTCTTCCCTTTTATTTTCATTTTATTTGAGATGAGGTTTCACTGTGTAGCCCAGGCTAGGTTGGAATTTGCTATGTAGCCCAGTATGACCTTGAATCCTTGATCCCAAGCACTGAAGTTATAGGTGAATTCCATAACCTGACTCTAGAGAGGCTGTCACTAGAGTAGTCCTGGCTGGCCTTGAACTCATAGACATCCTTCATCTGCCAGCCTTGAAGGGTGTGCCTCACTATGCTTAGTGCTGAGGGTTGTTGAACTCAGGGACATATGCTAGAGAAATACTCTTCAGCTGAGCTACTTCTAGTCTTCAACACTATCTCTTCACTGACACTAGAGACTTCAACAGTTTTTGAGGAAGGCTAGCTGTGTTCCGGTTGGCTATGATCAACTCTGTCTAGCTTAGTACATGATTCCCATGCCCCTGCCTTAGCGTGTAGGAAGTCCAATGTCTTGGGGCTAAGGATTCTTCTGTCCACTATGAACGTGCACTGTGGGCAATTCTAGACCTGACTGTTGTGGTCTCATGACCCCTCCAGCCTGTAACCGCTGGTTCTCATACTCTAGGACTACATTTTTTTTTGTAACAATGATTATGATTGGATCTTTTGAGTACAAACACACAAGAGAGGCCCAGACTCTAGATAGAAGCCAAGGACTAGAAGGGGAATTTTGGACAAACACTACATTTGTTTGAGGCGCTGCTCTATGGCCCCTCCATTAGAAAGGCTCTATTCTACCCTGCTCCAAGCAAGCTCTAGGTGGCAAAGCAGGTTGTTCTAGAATAGCTCAGAGGCAACATCCCTAAATGTGTGGGCCCTTCCTTTTCTCCTTCATCAGGGTTCAAACCATCTTGTCTACACAGCTCTTTAATCCTTCACTCCTTTCTCCACATCATCCCAAACTTGCCCAACTATCCTAGGAAAGCTGTCTCTTTCCCTAGTTCAAAAAACAAGAACAAGTTATCACTTGCTTGAGTAGGTGTTACATGCATAAACACCCACACTTTTGGGGGGTCACATATCAGATATCCAGCATATCAGATATTTACATTATGATTCATAACAGCAGCAAAATTACAGTTATGAAGTAGCAACAAAAATAATTTTATGGTTGGGGGTCATCACAACATGAGGAAGCTTGAGAACCATCTCCTTAAAGTAATATGAACTATTGGTTATTCCTTAATATTGTTCTGATCTCCAAAAAATGTACATGGCTCTAACTTTCTCCACAGGGCTTCACCTTCACATATCTACTGTGCGATCCTCCTCTCTCCTGCCTGCGTTTGCAAACAAAATTATAATTAACCTCTTCCAAACAATTTCAGCCATTATTTAGCAAAAGTTTTTACAGCAACCTGGCATGTCATGCATCTTTCTAGGATACTGGGGTAACAAGACCAGATTCTGTAAAATAAATTGTAAAGTAGAAAGTCTAGAGTGAAAGAAGCATAGGATAGATAATCTTACTAGGAAATAGTTAAGTATATTGGAATAAGAATGGACTAGCTGGGATAACAAGAAGGGAGGTATGAGGTAGAAAGTCAGACAAAAACTAAGAAAAATAAATACACAAGTGATAGAATACAAATGCTGAAGCAAACCCAAAACAAAGAAACCTAACCGGCTCAAATCAAACAAATCTTCAAAAACAAAAACAACGTACAAAAGCAGCCTGGTTGCAACTTCATTTTGAGGTGAGCTACGGCTAGATAATGCAGCTTGGCTTGGACTTGTGATCCTCCTGCCTCAGTGGAATGCCCGGATCACAGGTACTTGTCACTACTCCTGGCAGAGTTAAAAAACCAAGCGTTTGTGCTTTAAGGTTGATGATGAAAGCTGGGTGTGGTAGCACACCTCAGGCGGTAGAGGTAGGCAGACCACAAGGAGTTCCAGGAGAGAGAGAGAGAGAGAGGAGAGAGAGAGGAGAGAGAGGAGAGAGTGAGAGGAGAGAGAGGAGAGAGAGGAGAGGAGAGAGAGGAGAGAGAGGGAGAGAGAGAGAGAGAGAGAGAGAGAGAGAGAGAGAGAGAGAGAGAGAGAGAGAGAGAGAGAGAGAGTTGGTGCTCATTAACCTATTGTTTAAGCCATTTTTATTTTTGCCCAGTAGCCTCTCTTTGGAGTAAACACACTCCCACACACTGACACAAACCTCTTCTCCATCAACAGAGACAAAAAAGCAAAGAGAAAGAACAGTAAATGCACAAACATGTAGAAAAAGATTCCTGGCCACAGTCAATTTAATCAAGCCGAAGTACACAGTAACCTTGCTTCTGGAATCTAGCCTCACCGAAGCCTAACAGCAAAGTTTACTCTACAGCCGCTGTGTGAACTTTAGCCTATATTTTCAGTGCCAGCAAAAGTGAAACCTTTGCCCTACTTTTTAATCATCTTCAGATGTAACTCAAGAAAATACCTGCAAGATCACATAAAACTATAATCAGTGGAAAAAGTTGAATTATACTGATACAACTTTGAAAATGTTACTTTAGTTTATAGCAATTTATAGCTTTTTCAAAATCCCATCCTGGGACAAGGGATAGATGGGTCAAAGTGAGTCAGATTTAAAAATACCACCATACCTACTAACTGCCTTCCATTTCCTGTAAGATTCTTCTCTCACACACTTGGGAATTAGAAGTAGGAATTAAACATAAAGGAAGGACAGCTTGTGAATGTTTTATCTGATAGTCATACTAGAATGATAGTACTATATTTGCAGCAGGAATGTTCTAAAACTTCAATAATTAGAAGGCTTACTCTTTTCCCAGGAAATGTCATAGTTCATTGGACATTTGGGAACGCCTGCACACACTCTCAGGGTCAAGGACTGACCTGCTGAGTCTAGACTCTAAACGGCAAATCAGGCATGCAGCTAATTATGTAGAAGTATAGGAAAATCTGGCTGTTAGCTCTTCATCACCTTTGTAAGATGGATAGATTACTTTAAAAATTCTCAGCTATACACAATAATTACTTCCAAGGGCTGAAAAGTCAATAACATTTATTGAGAACTTATTCCCATGATAAGCTGTTTTATACCTAATGTAACTTCTTTAGACTTAACATGTAATTGACTCCATTTTACCAATGAGAAAAAGATTGAAATTAATTCCCAAGGTCACCAGAAGGTAAAAGACAGATTCAACCCAGAGGACGAGTCCATATTTAATGCCTTTAATTGTGTCACCATACTACTTCTCCCGCCAGGAAAAAAAATCACTCTTATTCATTTTACAGACGAGAAAGCCCTTTTAGATTAAAGCACTTAGCCAAGGTCACTTAGCAAGCCAGTGACTAGAAAACATATGACCTGATTACCACTTCAGTGTTGGTAATGTGGTGGTAGTTTTGGCTGTTTACACAGAATCTATAAGTGGCAATTTAGGAAAAAAAAAAAGCGGGATGGTGGTGGCGCACGCATTTAACCCCAGCACTTGGACAGAAGAGGCAGGCGGATATCAGTGAGTTCAAGGCCATGCTGGTCTACAAAGTGAGTTCCAGGGCAGCCAGGATCCAGAAACCCTTTCTTGAAAAACAAAAATAAAAAACAAAACAAACAAAAACTAGAAAAAGATTCAATTAATTCGCTTAATTAAATGTCTTGGGAGGGAAGAAAAAGGTAAATTATACATGTGCACTTTTTGTGAGGAAAATTAAAGTCTCAAAGTAACCGGTATCAAATATGATATGCAATAAATTAAAGTTACATTAGCCCTTACAGATTTGGGGTGTCTAGGGAAAGGGCCACCCCTTTAACCCTTTCACTACCAGTCTGAAGAGGAAGAATGCAAGTTCATAGAGCCCGACTGGGCATCGGCTGGAACTCACTCTGTATACCAGGCTGGCCTCCAACTCACAAAGATCCGTCTGCCTCTGCCTCCCAACTGCTGGGATTAAAGTCATGTAACAGCACGGCCCGGCTAGAAATAGTTCTTAAAAGGATCTAACATTTCGTTCCTAAAAACAAGTTTCCCCCGTATTTTAAAAATATTTCTTTCCCTAAGCTGAGAACTCCGGTTTCAATTACATTCGCAGGAGGAATATTGGAAGTGCGAGAGGAGCTCTCTGCAAAAACGGTTTTGACGGTAGAGACCAGGGAGTGGCAGTGATCTGAAAGGCTAGTCCGTGCCACCGAGAAGCTTGACAGATCTCTTAAGGTGACCAAGGTGCAGCAGAGCCTCAAAGATGCGACAGAAGGGGTCTCTCAGTCCTCCCGATCTAGCAGGGTCAGGGCCAAGACTATCACTACCGAAGACAGGGGGGCGTGAGCGCAGGGCAGCGGCGCAAAGTGCCAGACCGAGTGGAAACCACTCAGGAAAGTCAGGGAGCGCCTGACACCGCCGGAGTAGGGCAAGGGGGAGTGACAGCCCCTTCGCAAGGACACAGGAAATGGGGTCCCCGGACAGTAACCCCCGTTCCCAGGGGTTCCGGGAAAGGGGTGGTGGGCAGACAGCGAGGGGCAAACGCTGCTCCCCGCCGCCCCAGTTCCTGCAGGCACTCCGAGACTCCCCCGAGCCCTCAGCCAGGCTCACCTCTGGAGCGGAGGATCCTGAAGGCAGAGAAGCGACTGAGACTGCCAATTGCCCGTGACGCCACCATCTTGAGCAGAGGAGGACGAAAGTAGAAAGCTCTTCTAGCGGGGGGCCCTGAAGAGCCGAGGACTTTTCTTTTCTCAGCCTGTGCGGCAGGGCGCCCGATGTTCTGCCTTACTAAAACGCAGGCTCTTGAGTTGCCGCCTGACCTTGTCTCCCGCCCTCCTGCTCCCGACTAATCGGGCCGAGAGGATGATTTCTCTGAAGGAAGACCGAGGACCTCTGAGGAGGGGCGGAGTGTCTGACTTTCTAGTCAGGCGCTCAGCGGGCAGCCCGCAAGTCCCTCGGGGGCCGCGGGCGGGGTTGAGGGGTCCTCGCGGAGCGAGAGCCGCCCATCGGCGAGGGCGGGCGCTTGTCATTCTGGACTTGACCTTGCTGGGAGTGGCGTCTTTCTCGGGTCTCTGGGGTGCGACGGCGCGCAATTCGGCTTTCTTCCGACTTTCTCGCAGGTAGGTCCCCCTTTCCCCCCCGACGACTCCTGTCTCCCGTCCCCGCAGCCGCTTCCCCCGGAGCAGGACAGGCTGCGGGGCCCAGCCCTCCAGTGCCAACCGACTCCACACGGACGGCGGGGTGCTCGCAGCCGCGGTGTCGCCTGGCTCCACGTCTCGCTTCGGGTTTACGAACCTGGTTGCGTGTGCGCGAACCGCCGGGCTGTGCCACCGTTGTCGTTTCCCCTGCTTTACCTGTCTAGGCAGTCCCGCGGCTGTTGAGATTGAGAACTCGTCATTAAGTGCCAGCCTTGGGTGTGGAAGGAGGCGAGGCAGTCCTCCCACCTGCTTGGTGATCCAGGGTTCACCGGCATTTCTAACCCAGAAGGGGACCTAACGGACATCTGGGCATCCCCACCAAAGTAGCCGGAGTCGTTGAATCAGAATGTCTACCATCTTGACTTCCACTTTTAAAAACCTTTCTACTACATCAAAATGGGCCCTCAGATTTTGTAAGTTCATTTTTCTTTTTAAAGTTTAGATTTATAAACGTTGTGCATAGTTATTAAATGATACACACCTTGTTTTTCCAGCTGTAAGACCTCTGAGCTGTTCTTCCCAGCTACGATCTGCCCCAGGTACAGTAATTTTAAAACAAATATTTCTCCATTAAATGTTAGAATTCTGGATTTGTGAATTCTGAGTAAAACTCAAACTAATTTGTTAATTCTGCCCTTCTTATGATCAACATGAGTATCATTATTACCTTAAAATAAAAAATGTGTAGAGCCAATCAATAACACTCCTGTGGGCTTAAGATGATAAGAGACGGCAGCGTCCTGTGCTTTTCTGCTTATGGAGAAGGTCGCGTAAACTCTGCTGTTTATGTAGCCCTTGGCTGTCAGTCCTGGAAAGGTTAACATACACACTGTCTGGAAGCCACTGTGGAGCCTCACTTTAACTTTTGCAATTTGTAGTTAGTGGTAGGCCTCCCTATTAAACATCTTATTATCTTATATACAAGAGGACCTGTTTCTGAAATAGAGGTGAATGGGGAAACTGGTAAGATGTTGAGCTATCATGAGATGAAAGCCTAGGGAAAGTCATTGATTTGATGGGGTTATGTAGATCGTCAATGAAACTCAATGAATTAGGCATCTTCACTGTTGCAAATCACTGACCGGTGCAAAAATCCCCTGACAGATAGTCAACATTTATTTCTTCTTGTCTGGCCTTTCTATTGACTTGTTTATGATTATAGATTTATTGTATACATTTATTATATATTAATATATAACTTGTGCAGTGGTTTCATAGAAAAAGTACCATCTAGGGTCAGGATGTGTACTCTGTTCCAGCTTGAGCCTTTTGGCCAGTGTGGCCTTGAAATGACATCTCTATGTTTTGCTTTCCTTCTCTAAAAGACAAGTATGATTGCCAGCCTTGCATAGGTGTGAGCATATATATCTCTAAGTTCTTTAAGCACTGGGAATATAGCTCAGTGGCAGAGCTCCTACCTAGCATGTTCAAGGCCCTGGGTCAGTCCCCACCCTGTAGTAGAGAAAAAGGGCAAAATCACAAGTTTGGGCCTGGAGACCCAGGTCAGTGGTGGAGCACTTGCCTAGCACACTGCGTTCAACCCGCCACCACCACAGCAGCAGCAGCAAACAACCAAAACACCACCTTGTAAACTGAGGTCAATTTGGTCATGGTGGTACTATTTTCCCACAGTATTCTCTGACATCTGTTGCCTAATCTCAACTAGAGAAAGCCTCTAAACTCTAATCAGAATATAAATTTCTGTTGTCTCTACAAAGAATAATAAAGGATAATTCCTTTTTGACTTTTGTCACCTTTCCCCTAATTTAAATGTTCACTCAGGCTTTCGCTTTGCACAGTCACCCACGAAGCCCTGACCCTTGCCAAGCTGTAGAAGGTCATTGTGATGGCAGCAGAGAAAGCGTTTTTCAGTCATTTAGACTATTATTCTCTGTTGGTCAGTAACCAATTTTTGTGTGTTTTTTTTTCTTTCTAACTATATTGTAAGCTCTGAAAGTCATGAGACTTAAGCCTGTTTGGTGTCCCCAGTGTCAAACACTATCTTATAAGTGGTTTGTGTTATCGCTGATGATGATAATGGCAAAAAAGGCACCTGATAAGCTAAGGAATGTGACCAGCTGGTGTTAGGGTAGGGAAGGGCCATGTGCCAGTGCCAAGCAGGTTCTAGGTTGCAATAGTGTTGTAACCATATAATTCCTCTTAACTCATTTGCGTATTGCTGCTTGACAGGGCTGTTTGAAGAAATGTGAGCAAATGATTACAGGATTTATTGGTGTCCTGTCATCTCATGAACTGTGCCTGGTGCCTGATTTGATGATTGTATTTTCATTTCTCTGTCCATATTCCTGCCTTTCTCACACATAGTTATGTAAAGCATGACACATCTTTCAATCTTTGATTTTAATTGTGTATAGAGTATAGAATATATATTGGGTAACATTTGAATCCTAGATTTTCAAAGTTATGTAGTCCAGCTTGCACATTTGCAAATAAATTTTTGCAGACTAGGAATGTAAGTCATAGTATTTTTATTCTTGGGGTTCGTTGCTATTGCTGCACACACACACACACACACACACACACACACACACACACGCACATATTTTAAATAATCAGCATGCACATGAAACAGCGGGAATTCTTCTGTTCATTGTTACATAATATAATAATAGCACTATTTTTGAAATATGATTTATAGAATTAGTTTAGTTGGGTTTTTTTGTTTGTTTGTTTGTTTTTCGATACAGTGTTTCTCTGTAGCTTTGGAGCATGTCCTGGCACTCGCTCTGTAGACCAGGTTGGCCTCGAACTCACAGAGATCCGCCTGCCTCTGCCTCCCAAGTGCTGGGATTAAAGGCGTGCGCCACCAACGCCCGGCTAGTTTAGTTGGTTTTTAATTAATTAAATTTTTTGATATGGCCAATTTTTTTCCCTAGAGGTTGTTATAGAAGTTGAAAGGCAGAACTGTAGGTAACTAATTACTAGAGAAAGCTTTATTAGGATAGAATGTGACATAAGAATGTGTGAGCTGAACTCAAGAAAGCCAGTAACAGAGAGGGAGGACTGATGACCAAAGGGATTAAGACTGGGCTGGTTTAACCCCCAGAAACAGCTGACCTGACAAAGGTTAACTCTTGAATCCCAGGCATCAGCCTGGGAATCCAGCATGGGACTCATCAAGACCCCCCTGAATCTGGGTGTCAGTGAGGAGGCCTAGGTAATCTATTGAGCCTTGGGCAGCAGATCAGTACCCATCCCAAGTATACACACAGACTTTGGACTCCCATAGAACAATGTGAGGTGCACTCTCACCCTGAACTCTTGGGGAAGGGTCTAGGCCCTGCCCTATATGAAATGACAGACTATGGACACCCCCATGGAGGGCCTCACCCTCCCTGGGGAAATGAGGGGATAATGGGGGGGTTGGGGGGAGGGCACGGGAGGAGGGGAGGGAAACGGAGAGGACCTGGAACTGATTTGTGAAGCAACCTTGTTTCTTATCTAAATTTAAATTGAAAAATAAATAAATAAATAGATTAAAAAAAAAGAATGTGACACATGGAAGAATTGAATGAAATGGGGATATACAAATGAGAGTACCTGAATAAAGACGAGACAGTTGAGCTGAGCAAGGGACTGGGGGCTTGCTCAACTTGTACATTTAGAAAGTAGTAGATAATATTAGGACAACCAAGCAGAGCAATGGTTCTCAACTTCTGGGTCACAACCTCTTTGTGGGTTTGAATGACCTTTCACAGGGGTCACCTAAGATCATTGGAAAACAGATGTTTATATTATGATTCATAACAGTAGCAAAATTACAGTATGAAGTAGGGGATCAACACAACACGAGGAACTATATTAAAGGGTTGCAGCATTAGGAAAGTTAAGAACCACTGAAGTAGAGTAAGAAATTAATTAGAGAAATAAGAATTTTAATTTTTGGGGGCTGTATAAAGGAAACAAGCTCATTTTTAAAAAGCACCATAACATAGTAATGTGCCATCTATCTTTTCTTCAAAATACCTTTTTCTTTCTAAGATTAGTCACAAGTAAGCTACAGATTTGGTGGACTGTTTTTATTTCTCGTTTTCGTTGAACATGGAGGCGTCTTCTTATATTGCCTCTATTGCCTGTGTCCACCCTTCAGCCCCATCATATTCTTTGATTCTTCTAATGATTCCTAAGCTTACTTCTGTCTATGTGCTTGACTGCCCTCTTTAGGAGTTACAGAGCTGTCTTTACTGTGGGTAAGGGTCGTCAGGTTTGAGAGGGTGTGTGTGGGAAGGTGGGAAGGTGTCAGGAGGCTCACAGGCTGCCCCTGGCCAGCTTCTCCTCTCTCATGCACCCTACGATGTGCCTTTCCCTGGCCTGTCATCTCCTCTCTGTACATCTGCTTTTACTCTCTTGTTCTTTTCTTTGCTCTCAGGATTTGTGCTATCCCATAGCTAGCTTGCAGGTGACTTCAGTTTGCCAGTGCCCTAGTCCCGTTTTGGCATCTTTTCAGCCTCTGCTAATGGGTATTTCTTACCATGTTTCTTTACTTGGATTCCTACCAAAGAGGATCTGGCCTGGCACAGTTTATCACTTGTTTGCAGACTAAATGAATAACTAATTACTATGGCTTATAGAGTCTGAGTGTACACCCAAAGGCCATGAGCTGGAAGTCTGGTCCTTGTGGTAATACTCAGAGGTGGTAGAACCTTTAAGAAATGGTACCTAAGCTGGATGTGGTGGTGCCTGCCTGTGGTCCCAGCACTAGGGAGGTTTAAGTAGTAGTAGTGTTGAGAGTTTGAGGCCAACATGAGCTACTTTGTGAATTTGATATGCAGTAGTACCCTCTGTTTAAAAAAAAAAGGAGAACTGGAAAGGAAAGTAATTTGGTAATTGTTATGAGGCATTAGTCTCTGAGACTGTTTGGTTTAAAATGAGACCACCCCATGCGCTCATCCCCTTCTGCACATAGCCATTTTTCTTCCTGCTTCTTTGCTGTGCTATGTTTAGCTTTGTTATAACATAGACAGGTGGACCTTCACCAGGACCTCAGCATGCACCATGTAGTTAGTTTAGATGCCTTAGTGTCCAGCTTCCAGTATTTTGTTGTAGCCAAAACAAAACAAAAAAACCAAAAGCAAAATGGTGCTAATACACACTACTAGTCAGCTACGTCATTGATTTGTCGGTGGGTGAATCTGATCAGTTTGTGCCTTGGATTTAGAGTTATGACCGTGTGTGACTGCCCCATTGGCAGAGACTATAAACAGGACAGCTCTTTTTAGAGGAGACTCAAGAGAGCACAAGCATAGTGATCCAGGTGAGCTACCTCCCTATCCCTGATTTCATGTATTTTAATTAACAGCTCTTTGAACTTTATCTTAAAGCTGTCCAGACCAAGTCCAAGAAGACCTTAGCAAAACCCAATATAAAGAATATCGTGGTGGTGGAAGGTGTCCGCATTCCATTTCTGCTGTCTGGCACTTCGTAAGTATGAAATGATCATATTAGTTGTTTCTCTTTTAAGGTACTGTTTGAAGTACTCTTTGTAGGTAATAATACCATTAGTGAGAGACCATATGCAGAATACTTATATAAACCAGTACAGAGCAAGTCAAATCAGTGTGGTGTATATAATGGTAAGATATTTTATCCCTTCTCATAAACTAGCTTGTCATGATATTAGCCTGAAATAGCCCTGATTGGAAGTCCAGTGTAGATCCAGATAGCATCTTTTCCAACAGGGCTGTTCTTTTCTTTTCTGGAATGTTGTTTCTGTAGGCACAGTTTATGCCAAGGACGGCCTGTGAAAATTCTGAACTGTTGAGAACCCACTGCTGAGACTTAAGAGTTGACACAGCTGGTCCAAATGCCACTCACAGCTCAACCCCAAGTATTTTGGACTAACCTAATAATTTCTCAGGCTCAGATGACTGTTTTTCTTAAGCTTTTCTATCCCTTAAGTGAGATTCAGTCTATACAAAAGCTGATAATGAACTCTGCTAACTAAATTCAAGGTATTAGTTTGTTAATATTTCTATTTTGGACCAGCAGTCACTAGCATTAAAAACTTACTGGGGAATATTAAGCTCCAGTTTAAGAGCAATGAGGCCTATCTTATGTATTCGCATGGAAGGTGTGATGTATTTAAAAGGCAAGGCATAGGGACTGGGGAGATGGCAAAGCAGTGAAGAACATGGCTGCTCTTCCAGGGGACCTGGGTTCAATTCCCAGCACCCACATGGCAGCTCCCAGCTGTCTGTAACTCCAGTTCCCAGGGATCCAACACAGATGTACGTGCAGACAAAACACCAAATGCACATAAGATAAAAAATAAAATCTTAAAAATGCAAGGCATAAAGGAGCTAGTGAGATGGTTTGCTCCCAAACCTGATGACACAAGTACAATCCCTGGAAAGCAGGGAAAGAGAACTGACTCCTACAAGTTGTCCTATAATTTCCCAAATGTATGAGCACACAAGATGCTTAAAAAAATAGTCTTAAGCAAGGTGTACAGCATCATATATAATGTGGAAGGAGGAGGAGGGGGGAGGAGCAGGAGGGCGGGGCTCAGAGACTCTTCACAGACTTTGCAGGAAGGTGAAGTAGTAGCTTGAAGTGGAGAAAACAGGTACCATCTGAACCAAATGTTCAAGTTAACATCACCACCGGTAATAAGTCATTTTAATGCCACACGTCTCAGTAGGAAACAATGCAAAGAACACCTTGTCTCCAACCTCCGTCATCAAAAGTGTCAAAGTCATCAACCTCAAGGAGACAGTGGGAAACTATCACAGTTCAGAGGCGGCTAAGCCAGCATAACAACTCGATGCCATGTGGCACTGTGGGTTAGACCCTGGAGCAGGAAAAAGACATTCATAAAAACTGGTGAGAGCCGTAAATTCAGTAGCTTGGTGAGGAGTGCCTAGAAGAATCTGGGCAGAGGGTGTAGGAGCTCTTTGTCCTTTCTGTTCTTTGGTAAATCTCAGATTACTTCTTGGCCTCCGGGGACTGGAACTATAGGCCTGAGCAGCAAGCGCAGGTAGAACATCTCTTTGTCAGGTGCTCAGTGAGTTCTGTAGGCGTTTAATGCTTGTCAGGTTTTTAAAAATGATAGATAGCGAAGTTACACTATTTCTTCCTTTGAACTGATGGACTGATTTGGATAGTACAATTAATTGCATTTTCAGCAGTATATTTAGATAATCTGTATGTATTTCAAAAATAATTTAAAATTTTATTGAAACTCTAGGCTTTGGGTTTAAATCATTTGTTTTCTTTTCTCAGCTATAAAGACTTAATGCCACATGACTTGGCTAGAGCTGCACTTTCGTAAGTAAATAAAGTTTCCTGTCCTTTCATTTAAAATGGTTTTCTGGTATTTGCATTTAAAGTAGCATGTTCTGTAGAACTTTCACATCTTGGATATATTAAACTTCATATGGCAAAAAGCATTTTTTGTTGTTGTTGTTGTTTTGAGACAGGGTTTCTCTGTGCAGCCCTGGCTGTCCTGGAACTTGCTCTGTAGAACAGGCTGGCCTCAAACTTCTGTCTCTGCCTCCCAAAGGCTTGCATCACTACTGCCTGGCTGCAAGAAGCAATATTAACTAGCTTTTACAAGTTTTTGTTGTTGTTTTTTTTTCTTTGGTTTTTTCGAGACAGGGTTTCTCTGTGGCTTTGGAGGCTGTCCTGGAACTCGCTTGGTAGTCCAGGCTGGTCTCGAACTTACAGAGGTTGTTGTTGTTTTTTAAGACAGGGTTTTGCCATGTAACTCTGACTGAAACTCACTATAGAACAGACTGGCCTTGAACTCAGGGATTCACCTACCTCTCTGCCTCTCAATTGCTGGGGTTAGAGGTGTGTGCCATGATAATATTAAATTTTATTTTAACCTCATATGTTAAATTTGAACAGCTTTGATTTGAAGGCATCTTTATTTTGCAAGCTCAGCACATGACTCTTTTTCTGGTGGTGAAGTGGATGGTGTTTATTATAGTATTCTCAGGCTGGCCTGAAGCTCATCATGTAGGCCTAGCTGGCTTCAAACTCGTGGCAGTCCTCCTGCTTCATCTACATACATGAAGGCAAATACTCATACACATAAGATAAAAAAAAAACTCATGAGTGCTGGTCAGAGGTAAAATATATGTATATTGTTTCAAGTATGCTTTATATTAATATTTAAAATCTAGCGCTTCAACAATCATACTTGATCTTTCTTCTTGTGGTACTGGTTTCTGGTGATGTAGCAAACATTATTGTTATTAGAAATCTTTTTTTTAGTTTATTATTTGTATATGTTTTTTGTTTGCTAAGGCAGACATGTGCCACAATGTTCATGTAGGGGTCAGAGGACAACTTTTTAGCAGTCAGTTCTCTCTACCTTTATGAAGTTTGGGTCATCTAGCTTGTGCCCCAAGTTCTTTACCTCCTAAGTCTTCTTTCTGGCCCCAAGTTACTTATTTGTTTATTGAGGCCAGACCTGGATATGTATCTCTGGCAGACCTATAAATTGATTTGTAGACCACAATAGCCTTAGGCTCACAGAGATCTGCCTTCTTCTGCCTCCTGAGTTCTGGATTAAAAATATGTATTACCATACCCAGCTTCCTAAATGATCCCACCTCTACTCCCACCCCCACCGTAGCTGAGGACTGAACCCAGGGTCTTGTGCCTCCTAAGCAAGTGTTCTGTCACTGAGCTAACTCCAAAACCTTCCCCCCAAAGTTACTTTTATTGTTCCTTCTAATGTCTCATTACCAAGTCATCATCACATATTGACTTCACATCATCTGTCACTCATTTCCTCTGTGATAGACTGCCAAATGTTTGTGTCTGGCCTTTTAAAGGACTTGTGTTTGTGATTTTTGTGGTGATTAGGATTGAACGTTGGACCTCGTATGTGCTAGGTCAGCACTCTCCCTCTGACCTAGACCCTCCAGTTCATGGCTTGCCTGTTTAAAAACGTGCAGGTTTTTTTTTGTGTGTGTGATGTTCCCTGGCACTTCCTTCATTTATGAACTGTTTCTTTTCTTTGGATTCTGCTTTTAGGGGTTTGTTGCATCGGTCCAGTGTTCCAAAGGATGTTGTTGATTATATCATCTTTGGTACAGTCATTCAGGAAGTAAAAACAAGCAATGTGGCTAGAGAGGTAAGTAAAGCAAATTTATATTGTTTAAAGAGGCTGATAAAGCGGGGCATAGGGGCTGATGCTTGTAATTTATATTTGGGATGCTGAGGCAGGAGAATTGCCATGGAGTCCAAGGCCTACTAGGCTATGTAGCAAGTTCTCGATCAGTCTGGCTGCAGTAGGACCTTGTCTCCAAAACAATAGCAACAAAGCTGGGCTTGGTGGCACACGCCTTTCATATCAGCACTCAGAAGGCAGAAGCAGGCAGATCTGTGAGTTTCAGGTCATCCAGGGCTACATAGTGAGACCCTCTCTCCTCCCCATCCCACCCAGTGTGAGTGTGTGTGTGTGTGTGTGTGTGTGTGTGTGTGTGTGTGTGTGTGTGTGTGTGTGTGTCTAGATACCAGACCCAAGGCTTTGCACTTGCCAGGCAAGTGACCTACCACTGAGATATGTCCCCAACCTAGAATTTACCATTTTATAGTCATTAAATTCTTATCTTAAAATCCATCAACTAAATATGTATTTAAATAAGATCACATGATGTGTACTGTTATTATATATCCACATTTTGCTATAAGGCAGATAAATTATTTGAGTGAGTTTAGGAAATACTAGTTTATCTGTCTCTTGTGTTAGAGAAACAGTATAGCAGTGGCTGGCTGATGTTACTTTGTAATACTAGCCATCATGGCTTTTGATTAAACTTTATCATCTTGTAGCCAATTTCATAACTTGGTTTTATAGTCAGAGGAAGCCTTGCCTATGATTTACCTTTGACTAGATGACACGTAGGCAGGTTTTTTTTTATGTAGTTATTTCACACAATATTACCTTTACCCTAGTTGGCACACACCCATCTAGTGTTTATTGAGCAATGGAGATAATGACAGCCTTGGAACTAGTGTGAGTATCCCACAGGCATTTGACAGTGAATAGTTCAAACCTGTCTTCTGGGCCTTGTTTCAATTATTTGGATAAAGTTGGCTTGCAAGTATGTTTATCTTATTTCTTGTCTGTGAGGATATTAACTTTCATTGTCAGCCAAGATAGAAGGACAAACGCTCAGACCAAAAGCATTTGTTTTTGCCACACTTTTACAAATGTTAAGCAGCTAAAACCCCACAGTGCGCATGCTCACCAGGTGACCAGCTGGCTGCTGTTGGAGGGCAGAAGAGGGTTCTGTTCTCCTGGAGTGTTTGCTTTTCCTCTGCACCGTCACGTCGTTTTACATACCTCGTAAGGGTTCCAGTGGGTTACTAAAATGACAAGAGGGTTATGGGGTAAAATGTAGGGGTGAATCTGGGAAGAACTACTTATCTTGTTCAACTATAGAATGGTTGAATAAAATATAGTTCAACAGAATGATGTAGTATTATTAGTCCATTAAAAACTGTTATGAAGTTAATAAAGAGGAGTTTCATGGGCTCATAAAGCTGTCAAGCTGCTCACAAAATGTTTTCAACTTCTGTATCATGAATATGGAGTGGCTTTCATAAAACTGAAAAAGTAGACATTAAATCTGTTTCATTTTTCTCTGTACTTTTATTCTTTTCTCAAATCAAAACCATGATGCTTTTCTATGAATTTTTCTGAAAGTGTTACATGTGTATTCACATTCCAACTGTTGACATGGGAAGTTTCTCTCTCAACCTCACACTAGCATCGGTCATGTTGTACTCCACATAATTTCTTTTTTTGAGATAGGGTCTCATTTAGGAAGCCTTGACCTGCCTGAAACTCACTCTGTAGACCAGGCTGGCTTCAAGCTTACAGAGGTCTTCCTGCCTCTGCCTTCAGAGTGCTGGGATTGAAGTTGTGAGCTACCATGCCTGACTCTCCAGGTTATTTTTGTAGCTAAGGAGAAAGAAAGAGTTGATGGGACAGTTTTGAAAATAAGTAGTAGAACTTAAAATCCAACTAAATCCAGCTAAAGAGTGTGGTTAGGACCTGTGCTAATTTTAGTTTGAAATCCTAAAAAGCCTTGTGTCCCATCAAACCTGACTTTGCTGAAGGACCTCAATGCATTTCTCCTTCAACTTTAACTTCTTCCTTTCTCCTTGGTGCCTTGAAAGTGAGTCAGTCTTTAAATAGAAGTGTGTAGACAAGGGTCACCAGCTACCAGTTCTATTTAAAGCTCCGTCAGTCTTTTGGGTCAGCTGGGGCCAAGGGTAGCATGCTACAGTGGCCCTCGTGAGGATCAAGCCTTTCCAGCCTGAGCGCTCTTACCCTTGCCCCACTGTGGAGTTGTCTTTTGACCTGACACCTGCTTCTGATTTCCTTTCCAACTGGTTTAGGTTAAGAAGTTGACCTGCAGTTGCCAGGAAGTAGTTTTTAGCACAGTCATTTAGGTCCTTAGTGTCAGGCCTCCTGGGAGACAGCAGAATAAGGTCATACTGATTACACAGAAGTAGCAGCTTTCTGCTCCCACAGATGGCAAGTAGCATGAATCATGTGTAAGTATAAAGGCAAAGGTCAGCTGAGAGACACAGAACCTGTTTAATCTGGAATTTGCAACATTCATATCAGAATACAGTTTGTAGTCTCATGATAAAGACTACTAAAAATAATTCCTTGTCATTTCATAGTAAGGGTGGGGGGAGTTGGGAACTTTTTTTCATTAAAGTAAAAACTTCAGTATTAAAAATATTTTTCTAAGTGCACCTAAATTCCTTACATTAGCAAAAATAGAATGTTTGGCAACATAAATTTTCCTAGCATACAATGTAAAATAATTGTAGATGTCATTGTTTTATGTTTGACTTTGACTGGGTCATGAAATTAGAGGCCTCTTTTCATTAGATTAACTAGGAGGCCCTCAAATTTTCTCAGGGGCCCTAAAGCTACACTGATTGTAGTCACTTTCTTTGTCATTGCTCTGGACAGTTTCTGTTGTGGTTGTGAACCAGCCTGAACGTGTTCATCAGAGCTCTGCTTGTGAGTTGGGCAGTTAGGTCTCTCGAGTTTCTTTTATTGAATTGAGCATCGCTATATTTGGCAAGTTTTCCAGTTTTACTTTGCCTTTAGGTCAATCGTGTGTGGGTCTGAGAGAGCTGAGTGTGAAACATGTAGGCGCCTCAGCGGGCTCTTTATACGTGGTCAGGGTTTGTTGTGGCTTTAGTGGTCAGTTCTGTAGAAACATTCCATGCTTTTGCTCTGCTGCCAGGCTTCATAACTTCAGGGATACATGAAAATCCCACTCCAGGAAGCAGTTTCATCAAGTGTTTTTTTTAAAAGATTTATTTATTTATTACATATATAGTGTTCTCTGCCTTCGTGTATGCTTGCATGCCAGAAGAGGGCACCAGATCTCATTATAGATGGTTGTGAGCCACCATGTGGTTTCTGGGAATTGAACTCAGGTCCTCTGGAAAAGCAGCAGCCAGTGCTCTTAACCTCTGAGCCATCTCTCCAGCCCTCATCACTTTTAAATTGTATGTTAATTTTTTTGCATATTAAATTTTAAGTAACATTAAAATTACATGATATCCTTGAAGGCTTGAAGCAAAGCATTGTTAATAATTAGGTGAGGCTGAAGAATATTGTAGCCTTGTATGCCACACTCGAAAATGCTACCAGGCCACTGACTTGGTGGTCCCCAGACTGCATACCTGAATACTGGGGAGGCTGAGGCAGGAGAAATACACAAGTTCATGGCCTGCCTGCCACCTTGTGAAATCCTGTTTCAAAGTAAAAAGTAAAAAGGGTTAGGAATGTATCTTCATGGTGAGAGAGTTTCTTGAGCATGTGCAAGACTTTAGGTTTAACCTCCAGTGCTACAAAAAGAAAAGAAATAAAACAAAGATGACTTAGCCAGCAAGGGACATACTGCCAAGCCCTACGACCTGAGTTTGATCCCTTGAACCCACATGGTGAAAGGAAAGAACCAGTTCCCACAGTGTCCCTCACAAGCATGCCCTGATACAAATGTGCCTACACACATACACATAAATAGATATAAAAGTAAGCCAATGCAGCCTTTAATCCCAGCACTCAGGAGACAGAGGCAGGCAGATCTCTGTGAGTTTGAGGCCAGCCTGGTCTACACAGTGAGTTCCAGGACAGGCTCCAAAGCTACAGAGAAACCCTGTCTCAAGAAAAAAAAAGTAATAAAAGTTTTAAAAGAAAAAAATTTCTTAATCAGAAATTTCTTCAGTGTCTAGAAGAAAAATAAGCCATTTTGTGATGGACTTACCCTTATAAACATTGCTTTGTAGAATATTAAAATAAACCCTTTTCATAATTTACCATGCAGAATAGGGCTCAGAGCCTCCCTCACATGTGTTTCTTTCCTTATCCTCTGAAGGCTGCCCTTGGTGCTGGCTTCTCTGACAAGACTCCCGCCCACACTGTCACCATGGCTTGTATCTCTTCAAACCAAGCTATGACCACAGGTATGTGCAAATAGAATCAAGGTGCTTGCTGATCTTATTGCTTTTAGTTAATCTTAAGAGAAGTAAGTGATTATAAAAGCACAAATGACGAGCTCTGTGTTGAAGATAAAGTATATGACACTTGGGGATTGCCAGAGTAGTTCTCATGCCCTGTAGGGACGGTTGTACTCTTCCTGAGTCCTGGGCTGCCTGTTACTGGGATCATCAGTGGAGGAGATGCATAGTATATCCTGCTAAGGTAATTCTGATTGAACATTTTCCCATGAGGACAGAGTTCTTCAGCCTCAAGCATCAACATAGTTGTCAATCTGCACTAGATGGTCTGAGTCATGGGGTAAGAAGATGGCTTAGCTGTAAGCACTTGTTGAGTAAGCATGAGGACAAGAGTGGATAGATACCCAGCACCTACATAAATGTGTAGGTGTGACAGCCTGCTTGTAATCCCAGAATTTAGAAGGATCCCCAAAGCAAGCTGGCTGGCTGGCTGGCTGGCTGGCTGCTGGCTAGATAATTCAAATTGGTGAGATCTGGTCAAGTCAGAGAATTTGTCTCTATATACAAGATACGGCACTATTGAAGACATTAGATACCAGCCTCTGTCCTATACACACATGTACACACCACACACAGACACATAAACACACACATGTCTCACTGTGTGTGCCCCAACACATGATGAGAGCATACATTCACACATGCAAAAATGCTTTCATTTTTTTCTTCACTTTGTACCCACATCCTTGTGTAGTCTATATGGTATTTCAACTTTTAACAATTTTCGTAAAACTGTAGGACATTTAAATAGCTACTTTTATTTAATGAAAAGACAGGAAACTTGACAGACTTAGTACTTAATGTTATTATAATAATATCAAGACCAGATTGGACAGGTCAATTCATGGATGGCGGGGAATGATGCCAGAGGTAGTGGTCGGGGGTTTCTCCGCTGAGCAGCACGTAACTGACTCCCAGTTAAATCAACAGAATTCTGCATGCCAGTTGCCATGCAGGGAAACCTGAATCTGGGGAGTCAGATACCCCATGTAGTGGAAATTAATGTTCTCTGGAGAGACCTTTCTGAAAACTTAGGCTGGGAGCATATAAAATATGGACGATGTTTAGGTTTAAAATATTGTCTGAGTTGGGCTGGAGAGATGGCTCAGCACTGGTGGTTTTTATAGAGAATGCAGGTATGATCCCTGCACCCACATGGCAGCTCACAGCTATTAACTCCAGTTCCAGGAGACCTAATGCCCTTTTGGCCTCTGTGGGCATTAGGCAGTAATGTGGTGTACATACAGAATAAAATAAATAAAAGAATATCAATAATTAGAAGTTAATGTCAGGCCAGGTGGTGGTGGTGCACACCTGTAATCCCAGCACTCGGGAGGTAGAGGCAGTCAGATCTCAGTCTGCGGTTAAAGGTATCCTGGTCTACAGAGTGGACTCTAGGACAGCCAGGACTACACACCTACATGGAGAAACCTGTCTCAAAAAACCCAACCAAACAAAAACCAGAAAGAAAGAAGAGTTAAAACCAGCTAGGCATAGGGCAGCAGTAAGGAGGCAGAGGCATGTGGATCTCTGTGAGTTTGAAGCCAGCCAGAGTGCAAGTTCCAGGACAGCTAGGCCTACACAAGTGAGATCTCAGATCCAGAAAAAAAGAAAAAGAGAGAGACAAAAAGGAAAGAAAAGTTGAAAACTGATTACTGTTATACAAAACTGATAACTGATACAAAGATTTTTTCCATGTGTTTATTTTGCATGCATGCATGCATGTTGTGATGCATGTGTAGAGGTCAAAGGACATCTTGTGGAAGTTGGTTCTCTCCTTCTGCCATATGGGCTCTAGGGATGGAGTTTAGGTCCTCAGGCTTGGCTGCAAGTGCCTTTACATGTTGAGCCATCTCACTTCCCTTTAGTTTTTTATTTTTTAATTTTATTTATTTTTATTTTTTTTGGTTTTTGGAGGCTGTCCTGTAACTAGCTTTTGTAGACCAGGCTGGTCTTGAACTCACAGAGATCGGCTGGGATTAAAGGTGTGGGCCACCACCAGCTGGCCACTTCCCTCTTTTATAGAGATTTTTAATCAAGAAACTCGCATTTCAGTGGTTGTTATTCTTACAAAGTTGTTCACGCACATACACTTTGTACTCTGCAGCTGTTGGTCTGATAGCTTCTGGTCAGTGTGATGTCGTCGTGGCTGGTGGTGTTGAGTTAATGTCTGATGTCCCTATTCGTCATTCAAGAAAAATGAGGAAAATGATGCTTGATCTCAATAAAGCCAAGACTCTGGGACAGCGTCTGTCCTTACTCTCCAAATTCAGATTGAATTTTCTATCACCTGAGGTAAGACTTGTGAATTTAATGTAAATAAAGATGGCTTTCCAGAGCATCCTGAGGCTAGGTTACAGTTAGATATGACACATATTCTAATAGTTATATATTTTCATGATTACAGGGCAGCATGGGGGGTAGAGAGTAGTTATTAAAATTGAATTTGTAACCTGAGCATGGTAGCATATACCTTTAATTCTAGCACTTCAGAAGCAGAGACAAGTGAATCTGTATGAGTTCAAGGCCAGCCTCATTTACATGCTGAGACCGTCTCCAAAGATGTATCTGTTAGCTCTCTTTAGAAATATGTTTACTCACAAAGAGATTTCTGGGTTTCTTTTATTCCTTCATTGCTGTTTTGTTTTTGAACTAGGGTCTTGCTGAGCTGGCCTCAAAATTCAAAATCCCCCTGCCTCAACCTCCTGACTGCTAGGATTAGAGGCTTGTGTCCCTAGGTCTAGCCAATGAATAGATTTCAACTTTTCTAAATAGCACTGAGCAGTCCTGTGGGTCCTCTTAGCACCTGAAGAATGTAACTGTTCTCAATGTCCCTTTGCTAGCTCCCTGCAGTGGCTGAGTTCTCCACTAATGAGACCATGGGCCACTCCGCAGACCGGCTGGCTGCTGCCTTTGCTGTTTCTCGAATGGAACAGGATGAATATGCTCTGCGGTCTCATAGTCTGGCCAAGAAGGCACAGGATGAAGGACATCTTTCAGATATTGTACCCTTCAAAGTACCAGGTAAATGGTGGTACTTACTGAGGTGTTCTCAACTGTTTCAATTGCTGGAAAAACTCTGTCTTTTAAAAGGATCTGTGTACTTTTATTTTATGTTTTATGTGTATACTTTAGTGTATGCTTATGCCTCATGTGCATGCAGGTGTCCACACAGGCTATAAGAGGGCATTGGTGCCCCTGGAGCCAAGGTTGCAGGGACCTGTGAGCCAGCTGGTGCGGGTGCTTGGAACCAGATCTGGGCCCTCCACGTGGGCAGCAAGTGCTCGTAATGACTGAGTCATCTCTTCAACCTAAACTTAAAAACCTCAAGCGATAATTTCTTTTGCTTTTGTTTTGTTTTTTTGTTTTTCGAAACAGGGTTTCTCTGTGTAGCTTTTGAGCCTGTAATGGAATTCACTTTGTAGACCAGGCTAGCTTCAAACTCACAGAGATCTGCCTGCTTCTGCCTCTGGAGTGTTGAAATTAAATGTGTGCACCACCAACACCCAGCTTAGGGGATAATTTCTTCTTTCTTTCTTTCTTTTCCTTCCTTCCTTCCTTCCTTCCTTCCTTCCTTCCTTCCTTCCTTTCTTTCTTTCTTTCTTTCTTTCTTTCTTTCTTTCTTTCTTTCTTAAATTTGAATTAGAAACAAGGTTGCTTCACATGTCAATCCCAGGTCCCTTTCCCTCCCCTCCTCCCACTCCCTTCCCCCAACCCCCCCCCCATAGCCCCTCATTTCCCCAGGGAGGGTGAGGCCATCCATGGAGGTGTCCATAATCTGTCATTTCATCCAGGGCTGGGCCTAGACCCTCCCCTGGGAGTCCAGGGTGTGAGTGCATCTGTCATTGTTGGATGGGCACCCAAAGCCCATTTGTATGCCAGGGATAAATACTGATCTACTATCCCATAGATTGCCTAGGCCTCCTCACTGACACCCACATTCAGGGAGTCTTGATCAGTAGATCATTTCTTAAAGAAGGCTCTTACTGTGTGGTCCTGACTGGCCTTGAGCTCACAAAGAGACCTGCTTTTGCCTCCCTGGTGCCATGATTAACTTACATTTTAATAATTATGATTATTTCCAAAATACTCAGCTTTTATTCTTAAACCTGGACTCAACTTTAGATTTATGCTGTAACACAGGTAAACTTAAAGAAGGTTTTTGTTGTTTTTTTGCCGGACAGTGGTGGTTCACACCTTTATTCCCAGCACTGAGAGACAGAGGCAAGTGAATCTCTGTGAGTTTGAGGCCAGCCTGGTCTACAAAGTGAATTTCAGGACAGCTAGGGTTGTTATACAGAGAAACCCTGTCTAGAAAAAACAAAAACAAAAACAAAAAAACCCAAGGTCTCATTGTTGCTGAGGCTGGCCTTGAATTCCTGATCCTCTCTGCCTCTACCTCCAAGTGGTAGGATTGCTTGCATGTGTTACCATGTCCAACTTTCTTAAGTTTTTATAAGTGCCTCCTTTCAGATACTGCTGGGGTCTCTCTCTCTCTCTCTCTCTCTCTCTCTCTCTCTCTCTCTCTCTCTCTCTCTCTCTCTCTCTCTCTCTCTTATGGTAAACATAAAAGGCTTTCTTTTAAAGATGAGGGTATGTACAGCTCAGTAGTATAGTGCTTGGTCAGAGCAGTCAAGACCCTGGTGGTGGTGGTGTTGGGGGGTTGATCTCTAGTACTGGAAAAATAAAAAGGCTTTCTTCATAGTTGACAGATAATGTTTACATTCCATTTGTTCTTAAGTTTTTAATTATTTGTATGTGTCCGTGTGTGGCTATATGCACACACATGTGGATGCTTTAGAGGCCAGAAGAGGGCATTGGTTCCTGGGAGTTGGAGTTACAGGCAGTTGTGAGTTGCCCAACATGGGTGCTAGGTACTGCATTTGGATCTTCAGAAAGAACAGTGAGTGTTAACCACTGGGCCATCTTTCCAGCCCCCCCCATTCTTATCATTTTTAAAGCATATTGCTATAGAGAAGGTATATAATGCTAACAGTTTCTTAGAGTTAAAACATTCATGTTCTTACAGGAAAGGACACAGTTACCAAAGATAATGGGATCCGTCCTTCCTCACTAGAACAAATGGCCAAACTAAAGCCTGCATTCATCAAACCCTATGGCACAGTGACAGCTGCGAATTCTTCTTTCCTGGTAATTATCAGTGCTATTTGTGTTTAATAGTGGCTTTTCTGTGTTCTCAATAGGAGAGCCTGCAACAAGTTTGCTTGTGTGTGATTGGAGTCTTAAAATAAAGCTATTCACTATAAAGAAAATGTTAAAGGAAAATCATTTAGAAAACAAACACAAAACTGGGTGTAACGATACATACCTGTAATCCCAGCATTCAGGATATAGAGGCTGGAGGATCAAGAGTTTGCAGCCAGCCTAGGTATGCAAGACCATATCTCAAAAATACAACAAATAAAATTTTGCTTTGAGATAGGATTTCCTTATGTAGCCTAGGTTGTCCTCAAAGTTAACAGTCCTTCTGCCTCAGCCTCCCTAGTGCTGGAAATACAGGCATGCGCCATGTTTAAACACCAAGTTTAACATAGCAGTTCTGAGGTCTTCAGTCTCAGTACACTGGCACAGAAGCTGCTCTTCTCATGCACTTGGCCACTCATCAGCCTGGCATTGCTTATGCTAGGCCCTGAACATGGAAAAGACAGTTGTGGTGTAGTGAGAAGAGCAAGTGCAGGTTAGCCACTGCGGTATCAGACAGGCTTCTCATAAAAGGTAGCGAGTGAATGTGATGTGTCTGTGCACATACCTGTATGTCCAGTGCCCATCGTGGCCAGAAGAGACATTGGCTCCTGTGGGACTGGAGTGACAGATTTTTCTTAGCTGCCATGTGGGTACTGGGAACTGAACCTGGGTCCTCTGGAAGAACCAGTTTTCTTATCCACTCAAGTGTCTCTGCAGTCCTCAGTGTTTCTCTGACAATATAACTAATCAATTTCTACCACCATACCCTGCAGTGAACATAGTACTAATGTAGTATCCATAAACCATTTTTTATGTATAGTCACCTGTGTTCCCAGAATTTATGGCCACCCTACTGGTGGCTACATGCTCTTTTCAGGATTGCAGAGTTTTTAAGAAAGGTGTATAATTAATTGTGACACCTTGTTTTGATTTTTGCATATTGTATTGGGTGGTTTTATTTTCTTTGGAATTGTGAAGGACATTCTTTTTTGTTTTGTTTGTTTGTTTGAGACAGGGTTTCTCTGTGTAACCCTGGCTGTCCTGAAACTCTGTAAATCAGGCTGGCTTAGAACTCAACTCAAGGATCCACCTGCCTCTGCCTCCTGAGTGCTGGGATTAAAGGTGTGGCCACCACCACCTGGCCATTCTTTCCTTTTTGAAGTAATGGTAAAGGGCTTTTTAAAAACAAGAAACAAAACCCCAGAGTATCTCTTTGTCCTGTAACTTCTTGATTATTATTTGGGATAAAAACATATAAGATGTGTTCAATGTGTTCTAAAACCATGGTTTTGATGCTCTCTCATTTGCCTACCTGTGTCTTCTCTCAATATTTTGCCTCTAGAATAAAATCTCAAAGCTGTGGGCAGGAAGCAACTAAGAAACAGCACAGAAAATATAAAAATAAATAATTGAAGTAAATAAAATATTGTTTTAATTCATAAAAACTTCATTTCCTGTTCCAGAAACAACTTATTTCTAAAGTTGCCCCTCCCAGAGTATTTGGATAAATTATGGTATCTTATAAAGAGTTCCTGCTACCATTGTCCTCCCAAAGTGGCTCAGGGTGTGTGCTTATTGTGACTTAATGGTGGGTTTGTTAGATGGAGTCTGTGTAGATCTGTCAGTGCACTCAGGAGCAGACTTGAGAGGTGGCGACGACCCGAGATGTCCAGATAACATGGTTGCTCTGTTACCGTTCCAGACGGATGGCGCATCTGCGATGCTCATCATGTCAGAGGACAGAGCTCTGGCCATGGGCTATAAGCCAAAGGCGTATCTGAGGTAAAGTAGATACTCGGGTGACTTGCCTTGACTTCTTTATTTTATTACTGGAGCTAACCTCTCTGTTTTTGTCTAGGGATTTTATGTATGTGTCCCAGGATCCAAAAGATCAGCTTTTACTTGGGTAAGTAGTGGTGTATATCTCTCTGGGTTTCAATTAAAGTATTTGAATTTTTTATTACGTTAATCTAGTGTGTATGGAGGGGGTTGGAGTATAATTTACAGTAGTTGATTTTCTCCTCCTGCCATGTGGGGCCCAGGGATCAATTGCTCACATCTTTATACAGGTTTGAAAGTATATGAAGTTGGCAGAATAAGCATTTTGTTTTCATATCACTATCCACTGTGCTGTATAATCAGCTAACACCTCTACCCTGTGTGTGTGTGTGTGTGTGTGTGTGTGTGTGTGTGTGTGTGTGTGTGTGTGTGTTGCAGGATACAGGAATGGGTCTCACTCACGGTAGACAAGGGCTCCCAACACTGAGCTTCATCCCTACCCACAGGCTCTTTCATAAAGGCTTCTGATTATCTCTCCCTTGTCTGCTGGCTTTATTATAACCTTGAGGCTAGCCAAGCCCTTTCCCCTTTGAATTTTCTTCCTTTTTTTTTTTTTTTTAGTTTTAAATTACGCTTTACTGTTTGCCTGTTGATTATCTGTTTTCCCAGTTCTACAATATAATGAAGATGAAAGGCATTTTTTGTATCCTTAACACTTAATTAGTATTTTTATAATAAATAGAACCAATAAATAAGTGTAAAACTCAATTTGGAGTATAATAAGGAATGCTTAAGTTAAAGTGGAAAGTTTTAGGCTACTACCTTTTGTTTTGTTTTCTTTTTCAGACCAACATATGCTACTCCAAAAGTTCTAGAAAAGGCAGGATTAACCATGAACGATATTGATGCTTTTGAATTTCATGAAGCCTTCTCAGTAAGTTGTCTATAAGACACATCTGAAATGAGCATAACCATTAAAAATGAAGCCCAGGCCTGTAGGGAGTGGGGCTTTATATTTCAGACTGAACTTCTTTGAGGGGAGGGCTAGGTCAGGGAATTGGGTCACACTTGTGGTATTGAAAATATACCTTTGGAGGCTGTTTCTTAAAAGCCCATTAGGAAGTGTTAAATTATGTCTCGGGTAAGCCCAGAAGAGCATTGATAACAGTCTTATTTTCCTTCTTAGGGCCAAATTTTGGCTAACTTTAAAGCCATGGATTCCGACTGGTTTGCACAGAACTACATGGGCAGGAAAACCAAGGTAAGATTCCAGTAAGAAACATGCTTGAAGTTCCCCGTGAAAACAGTAAGCCTGTGTGTTGTCTTCTGTTCATCTCACATGCCATGCACTCATGTGTAAGGTAGTCAGCATTTATTACTTCCGTCTGGCTGTTTGCTGCCTCTCAGGAAGAGTCTGACTTGGCTGGTCTGAAGGAAAATTGCCTCTACATTGGTGTTTGTTTTTGTGGGAGCCAGGTCGGATCGCCTCCTCTGGAGAAGTTTAACATCTGGGGCGGATCACTGTCTCTGGGACACCCTTTTGGAGCCACTGGCTGTCGATTGGTCATGGCAGCTGCCAACAGGCTGAGGAAGGATGGAGGCCAGTATGCTTTAGTGGCTGCCTGTGCAGCTGGAGGACAGGTACGTCACTGCAGTGCCACTAGGACTTTCTCTCACAGCCCAAGAATGTCTGTTTGAAGCATTCTTGAAGCTCATAGCTGTTTTCTTTTGGAAGATGATTTTAATTCTGATACTTCATTGAAAGGAAGGTGCTCTGCAAATCCAAGCTGTTTTTCTATTTTAAAATGTTTGCTTTTCTTTTTTACAACATGAATATATGGTCATTATGGAAACTATGTAAAATATAAAAATAGAGGAAAAAAATCATTTATAACTTCTTTGCCAGGCACTAGCATTAGAAGCATCTCGATGTATTTTCTTTTTTAACAGTACACTTTTATTCATTTACCTAATAATCACAACACCTTATCTGTAAACTCTAAGAGGAGCAGTCTCCGTGGCTGTTACCTCAGTGGTGAAGTGCTTGTCTGGAAGGTTTGAAGTCCTGGGTTCAGCTCTAGCACCACCATAAAACAAAACCATCCTCAAGAATGGATGGGGCTGTTGTGGCAGGGCACACCTTTAATCCTACACTCCCAAGGGAGAGACAGGTGGATCTCTGTCAGTTAGTGGCCAGCCTGGTCTACAGAGAGAGTTCCAGGACAGCCAAGGCTGCATAGCGAGACCCTGTCTCAAAACAACAACGACAAAGTGACGACAAAGTTGTAACATTGTTGCTTCATTGCCTGCAACTTTTTTGGTGACGGTGGGTTTAAACCCAGGGCTCCACATGTTAATAATTAGACAGTGCTCTGCCGGGGATAGTCCCCTAACTCAAAAATGATTACCGTTTGGGTAATTATTTCTCCTAACTGAAACCTTGCATATGTTTAGGTGAGAGCCTGCTTCTTACCTCTCTTTTCTGCTCCCTTGAGGGAGAGACAGTGTGTCACATGTAGTCCACACAGATTCTCTTCCTTTCAGGTGCAATTTTTATCACTATTACACAGAATGTAAGTAGCATTAGATGATGTTGTGAATGATTGAAGAAGAGTGATCACTGTCTTTCTTCTAGAAGTTTTAAACTCTTGCCACTAACTTGTTTCATTGAGCCAATAGATTGACACCAACATGATTAGGAAATTAGAGCAAACTCCCCTATTGTGGGTCTAAAACAGTGGGGTTGTTTCTTTTTAAATTATTTTTATTTTATGCTTATTGGTGTTTTCCCTGTGTGTGTGTCTGTGTGAGGGTATCAGAAACCATGGAAATGGAGTTACAGACAACTGTGAGTTGTTGCCATGTGGGTGCCGAGAATTGACCCTGGGTTCTCTGGAAGAGCCAAGAACTATTAAGCCATCTCTCCAGCACTAGAGCAGTGTTTTTCATCCGTGGCATTGTTAATGTTTTGGGCTAGTTAATTCTGTGGGCTTGTATTGTGAGATGTTGCCAGTCCTGGCCCATTTATAAACATATAGTTGAAACAAGTAGAAATGCCTTCATTCATTGCCAAAAGTCTTCCGGAGGGAAGGGAGGCACTCATCCTAGTTAATAACCACTGATCGTGTTGGAACATGAAAATTGCATTATAAGTAAAGCTGAGTGTTCTGCCTCCTGAGTCCTTTGGATAACTCCCAGGTTAGTTATGCCTTCTGATCTCTGCTTTTTGTTGTTGTTTGCTTATGCATTGTCAAGGTTCTGAACTAATGCATATGCTAAATTCCAGATGAAGATCTTGTATCAGAACTTTAAACTTACATAGTATTGAACTTGGTAATTTATAAATAATAGGTCTGTCTGTCTTTTTTTTTTTCTTTTTTTTTTTTTTTTTGAGACAGGGTTTCTCTGTGTAACAGTCTTGGCTGTCCAGGAACTCTGAAGACCAGGCTGGCCTTGAACTCATAAAGATCCACCTGCCTCAGCCTCCTGAGTGCTGAGATTAAAGGCGTGCGCCACCACACCTGGCTTAAATAATAGCTTCTTCACGCACGTTTGTGGGAATTGGATAGAACTTGGGAGCTGGGCATTCCATTGGGCTGTTTACTGGTTTGGTGGCAGTTCAGGGTTAGTCGATTAGAGTGACTGTATTTATCAGACAGGAAATCCTCATGTCTATGTAAGGTGTAAACTTGAGTTATAACTAGTACCCAGAGCTGTGCAGAGCTTTGGAGATGGGACATTGTTCTTTCTTCCTGCCCTTATGTACATCTTAACCACAGAGTAGTCAAGTGTGAGTCAGGGTTCAGGATCCTCACACCTGTTTTCAGATCTGAGTCGCTTAACCCTTTAATCCTTCTTGGGTTGAAGATGTGGCCCAGTGGTAGAGTACTTGCCTAGCACACCTGGAATCAATCCCCAGAACCACAGAAACAAAAATAAAGCAACCATTTGTTGTATTTACTACGACTGAGTCTGGTGCATGTATGTAACCATATGTGTATATGTGTATAGCCAGTTGTATGTATATCAATACATGTGTCTATACAATATGTTCTCTCTGATTTAACATTTATGAAGTCTTTCTAAACTAGGGACCATGCTCCATTTTATAGAGGAAATGGGGGCTCGTATGACCCCTCTCCCGGGATCGCACAGTAGTTGGGAGGTGTTTGCTTGTTCACTCCTCCATGCTGGCTGGATTCATTGCTTTCCACACTCTGACTGACTTTGTTTCCCTTTACAGGGTCATGCTATGATTGTGGAAGCTTATCCAAAATGATTGCTCTAGAGGAGGTGGCCTGATTTCTGTGTGCAGCAATCACACTGGGCAATGCCATTTCAATGCACCACCAAGTGACACCTGTAGTTCCTAGCTCTTCTTGGGAAAACAACATCTGTGGCCTTCTCTTAATACTTTGCGATCAAGCCTTGCCAGTGTTCCAAGCTTTCCGATAATCTCAGCCTCTGTTCTCTAAGTTCCAGAGTATCACAGATGTGCACACAGTTCTTGTTATCTCTTGTCACAAAGACTAATGGCTGGCAGCAGCTTGGAGAGATGTTAGCTGAGGTTTGAAGTCATCTTTGTAACATTTGCAGATTTCCCTTGTTCTTGTCCGTGTCATAGAGATAATTATTTTTTTCTAAAATACAAACCAATGTGCCTAAAGTAACTTACTATGGAAAAAATAATAATCTAAACATCTCTGAAACCTGAAATGCTTACTATATATATATATATATAGCATGTTGATTGACCTTAATAAAGTAGAAATGTATTAGAGGACTGTTTGTGATCTCTTTATTAGTGGGGGAAGGTGGCTCTTTTGACTTAGGGTGGCTTTGCCTCTAGTTACTCATTTGGAACTTATAACTATTTCAGTCAATTTTGAAACTGTCAAGAATGTAAGTAATATCCTACCTTGTAATAATATGCTTTCTCCATTGCTTAATTGAAGCAAATCGACTTTCATTGCAGACGTTTCTGTTTTTCAGGGTTGATGTCACAGTTAAAAACATATTTTCGGCCAGGCAGTGGTCGCGCTCGCCTTTAATCCCAGCACTCGGGAGGCAGAGGCAGGTGGATCTCTGTGAGTTCGTGACCAGCCTGGTCTACAAGAGCTAGTTCCAGGCCTCCAAAGCCACAGAGAAACCCTATCTCGAAAAACCAAAACCAAACCAAACCAAAACGTATTTTGACTATTATAAACCCTCTCAAATTCTTGACAGCAGTGTCACACAAACCACAATTATGCTGTCCTGAAAAAGTCATAGGCTCAGTTGTGGACGTCTGTTTGATTGTTACTCAAATGTATAGGAATTTCTGTCAGACTCACCCTGGGCTTTTGAGCAAGGAACAAAGTGTTGACCTCTGAAAAGTACTTGAGTTTTCTTGGTAAATTAAGTCATAGTGTGTATGTATGTATGGATGTATCTATGGGATTTTGTGTGACCATGGGAATTAGTCAGGGCCTCATGAATACTCGGCAAGTACTCGGCCCAGCCCATATATATTTGTTTTTTAAGTTTCTTCTGAATCCAAACTTTTATTTTTAGATATCTGATACAAATTTTCCCAGTTACATTTTGTGTTCTAAGAACTTTCCCCCCAAGAGGTGTTGTTTTAAATTCATTTGCAAAATTGACAGAATCCTTACCACTTAGTCTCTGGTCAATAAGAAAAGAGAACCTAGCTGAGGGGAGGGGCATACCTTTAGTCTCAGATCTCGAGGAGGCAGAGGCTGGTGGATCTCTGAATCCAAGACCAACCTGGTCTACACAGATAGCTCATTGGGTAAATGTATCATCACTAAGCCAGCTGACCTGGAAGTCTATCCCTAGGACCACATTGTGGACTGAGAACCAACTCCCACTTACTGCTCTTTGACTTTCATGTGTGCCCTATGGCATGTACCCATCCACCCACACAAAATCTAATTAAAAATTCAATTTTGTGGGGGTAGGCAGGTGGATCTCTGAGTTCAAGACTAGTCTGGTCTATAGAGCAAATTTTAGGACAGCCAGGGCTACACAGGGTAACCATGTTGAAAACAAAAAATGAAAGGGAGAGAGAGAGAAAGAGAGTACCAAATAAAGGTGGGCAGGTGGATCTCTGTGAGTTCAAGGCCAGCCTGGTCTATAGAGTGAGTTCCATATAGAGTAACCCTGTGGAGGTGTGGGTTGAAAAGAAAAAGGAAAAGTCCCAAATAAACTAGTGACAGATTAAACAACAACAAAAATAAAGACAGAACTGCTTGGTTTTTTTGAGAGTTTCTCTATATAGTCCTGGATACGCTAGAACTCACTTTGTAGACCAGGCTGGCCTTGAACTCAGAGATCTGCCTGGCTCTGCCTTTCAAGAACTGGGATTAAAAACTCACACCACCACACCTGGCATTGCAGAACTTTGTATATGTTGCAAAAGTAAGATATAAAGATTGGTAAAACTTACAGCTACCTCAGAGACATTTTGGCCACTCGAAAATCTTGGAGCACAAGGAAACTGATTGTTCATATTCTCTACAAGATAGTTCTAAAGCTGCCATCGGTTTTACTGCTCTACTATGAAACACAGGCCCACGTGTGGTCAGCCTTTTTATTGTGGTTATAAGTAAATGTAAACTTGGAAATTTGTTGTAAAGCACTTCCCAATGTCTGACATTACCTTTTTCAATAGTACTTTTTATAGTTAGTGATACAAAATAGTCAGGTTCCTCCCTTGCCAGCCTGAACAAGTGTATGTTAAAGAGGGTGCTGTCAAAAGTCTCACTGTTGCTTTAACAGGTGAATTCACTGTCACTCTGAAGTTTTTCTGTGCCATGTATGTGCCACTTCATAGATTAGTAAATGGCCTCTGCTGGTGTATTTTACAAGCAGTTATATTAGTAAGGGTTTTGTAACTAAATATTGTCCCCAAAGAAACTGAATTCTGCCCTTCATCTTTAGTGTCCGGAAGATCACAGGTTCCTGTCAATCAGTCATCCTTTCTTCATAACTGTCAAAAAGAAACAGCAAAGAAACCACTCAGCAGTGACATTGAAAACATTTCCCTTGTGTCTGTAACATACACTGCTGATTAAAACTGTTTTTCTTGCCAAGCTGTGGTGGTGCACGCCTTTGATCCCAGCACTCGGGAGGTAGAGGCAGGAGGATCTCTGAGTTCGAGGCCAGCCTGGTCTACAGAGTGAGTTCCAGGACAGCCAGGGCTGTTACACAGAGAAAAACAACAACAAAAATACAACTGTTTTTCTTGTAGTTCTTTGGAACATTGACTCCTGTGCTTTTTCTTTTGTTGTTTAGTTTTTAGCAAAGGCAGGCTTTTTCATCAGGTCACGGGTAGCTTTAGCTACTTTTTTGCAGTGCACCTTGCATGGATACTTCAGGGGCTCTGGACTGTTGAGCTGCACGAGGAATGCCTATGACTGATGGAAATGAAAATCTGCCTGTCCTGAGTAAGGACAGAGTGGTCAGAATACAGCCTGGGACTCACCTGGCAGATTCCAGCACACACTCTGACCTCCCTCGCCAGGAACATGAGCTCATGCATGGGTGGTTCATCCTGGAATGTCTGTCTTTCCTATTAGAAAAGGTCACCCTGAAGCTTGGGGCTGGGGGACAGGATACCTTGCCTTTACCTGTGTAAACAGCTCTCCTCTCCTGATAGCCTTAAATGACTAACCCCTACAAGGGTAAATGACAAGGGTAAGTCATTTAAGGCAGCATTGGTTGGTTGAACACACACACACACACACATTACGTATGATATAGATATAGGTATAGATATAGTTTTGTTGTTGTTTGGATAGGCTCTCACTATGTAGCCTAGAGCGGGCTCGAACTCTTGCTCCTCCTGCTTACGACCATACACACCACACCTGGCTGAGGTGAGGGTTTTTCCAGATAATTTAAAAGTTGGTATTGTGGAGTGGGAACCTCTAGAATGAACTCAGGGGTAAGGCTGAGACAGGGAGATCACAAGTTCACATCCTGTTGATTAGAGTGAGTTCAAGGCCAGCCTTGGTAACTTAGCAAGACCCTGTCTGAAAGTGAAAACTTAAGATCTGGAGTGTGGGGATGTGGCTTAGGTCTCCGGGTTCTGGCTCTAGCCTCCAACACTGGGGAAGAGTGGGGAGACTCGGCCTGGAGGCCCTCGCTCCAGCCTCTTTTACCTCCGTCATCGATCTGCTCCCGAGAAAGCTGCCCTCACCTGGCACGTTCACTTCTTTCTTTGCTGTGTTCCGAAGTGCAGCTTTCGTTTGTGGCCTGGGAGAAGTAGAGAGGCCCAGCTGGAGTGATCTGTATCACAGCTCAGCCACCGTGAGGAGGACGTATCCATTCCAACATTCCCGCCAGCCCTTCCGGGAACTTTGGTACCTGCTACCTAGGTCCTTAGGGGCCCCACTCTATCGTTTCCCTCCAAATGTTAACGTGGAGCAGAGTATTAGATGTGGGTACGGTGGAGAGGAGTGTCACCAGGCATCCGGGTGGTCACTGGGAACCCCAAAGTCCCATTCTAACTATGCGGGCTGGTCCGTTCATCTGCCCACCCCTGTGGCTGGAGAAACTGAGTCTGAAAGCTGCTTGCTGTAAAAAGAACTGCTGACTCTCCTCTCCTAGCTGGGCCCATCTCTTCCAGGGAGGGCTGGAGAATGGCCGGCCAAATCTTGCAGACAGCTGAGGTGCAGGGCAACTCACCAGGGAGACGGCAGAGTTGGAGGACTGAGTGCCTCGGAAGCGGAAGCGTTTGCGCAAGGCCTCTAGTACCTGAGGGGAAGGTGAACGCCCGCTTGTGTCAATCACATTTAGGCCTCTGGGTCAGGTGTGGGGAGCTAGCTGGGCACTCACCTTCTTGTCTGTGAGGCAGCCAAACACTAAGATGAAGACACCCTGAAGAGAGGCGGGTGGGGGAGCAGGTTAGTGTGGGGGGCTCATTTCTCCCTCCCTCTCCTCATCTTCTGTTCTCAGACCCTTTTCTAATGGATATCCCAAGTCACCGCCTCAGCTTCAACACCCATCAGCACCATTTGGAATTGTGTGTGCACGTGTGCATGTGTGTGCCTGTGTACATGCCACGGCCCAGGGATCAAACTCGGGTTGTCAGGCTTGGCAGCAAGCGCTTTTACCTACTGAGCCATCTTCCTTCCTTCCTTCCTTCCTTCCTTCCTTCCTTCCTTCCTTCCTTCCTTCCTTCCTTCCTTTCTTTCTTTCTTTCCCTCCCTTCCTTCCTTTTTTTTTTTTTGAGACAGGGTTTCTCTGTGTAGTTCTGGCTGTCCTGGAACTAACTCTGTAGACCAGGCTGACCTTGAACTCACAAAGATCTGCCTCCTGAGTGCTGGGACTAAAGGCTTGCATCGCCACTGGTTTCAAGTGCCTTTCTTAAGACTGCATTAAGATTTCTCGACTTTAACACAATCATAAGAAAACCAGAGCTCAGAGAGGTTATGTTATTTGCCCAAATTTACCCAGCAAGGCAGTGAAGGAACTGGGATCTATATTCAGTGCCCTTAAAATGCCTGAGCCTGGTGATTGGCAGTGACCCTTGCCACTTACCTGGAGACTGTTGAGAATGGTGAAGATGTAGTGAGACACCATGGAATCTTGATCAAATATAACAGCCACGCCCAGTCCCCAGGTGAGGCCAAAGATGGGCGTGAGAATAAGCAGGGCTTTAAGCACCCCCACAAGAGCTTGGCGCTTCTCCACTGGGGGCCCCTCTGACAGTGAAGGCCTTAGGAGCTTCAGCACAACAATGACAAGGACCAGCCCGTTTACACAGACGATGGCCAGCACCGGCTCGCTGAAAGCATGCAGCATGACTCCGTCTTCATTCAGCAAACATTTCCCCTCCCACAGGTATTTCCTTTGAGGCAAGTAGAGGCCCAGGGTGACACCTGCGAACCCCAGTGGGCACAGGTAGCCCAGTGTCACCATCAGGGAGAGAACCAAGTACTTGGACAGCTGATGGAAGACGAAAAGCAGCTGGTGGGCCAGCACCAGGGCCTGGGCCAGCATCCAGAAAAACGTGGCCAGGTAGAAAAAGTGACACAGGAAAGCAGTGGCCAGGCAGAACAGGCTGTGGTACCCTGAAGGAAAGAACGGGCCTCCCAGGAAGCATGCGTCTGCCACCAGCAAGCAGATCACCATGTTATACAGGGCGGCATGGCGGAAGAAGGAGACTTTGTTCCGAACCACCACTCCCCACACCAGCCTGTAAATAACCAGGCACGTGAGCAGTGCCAGAATGGAAACCCCAACGCCCACCTGGCTCAGCAAGTTCAGGATAGGATTTTCTGGGATGGCGTGTTGGGACATGAGGATGGAAAAGGCAGTGAGATGCTGGCAAACACACCTAGTGACGGCGCTGGTGTTGCCTGCATGTACCCGGCACCCTTTATCTGACCAACCCCCGTGACCCTGGAAGAGACTGTAGTCCCAGAAGACACAGAGCACGGTTACATTCACGTCTTCAAAGTCCATGATAAGTTCTGCCTGTGTGAAGGCCTGGCCGTCAGCTGTAATGGAGACCACCAGGACCAGCCCAGGAGTGGTATATGGGGTCCACATCCCTTGTGCATAGCTTGAGGTCAGATAGTGGTCCAGTTTTTGCAGTACTAGGGTAGTAATACTGACATTAGTTCCATTATGGACCAGTGGGGCCAGTGAATACCACGGGATCAGTGCCTGTAGGAAGGGCCAGGCAGGGAAGGACATTTGGTGGCCAGGAGGAGAGGTGTGTCTGAGGAGCTGGCTCTGCAGTAGTACATTAGACGAGGTAAAGGAGAAAGGGTGCTGCTGTGAGCTCAAGCTGTGGACCAGGGTCTCCACAGCCTTCAGGAAATCCGAGGCCAGCGCGGGCGCCTGGGCCTGGGCCAGAGTCCACAGAGAGCTGAGTTTCACCTCTAGAATCTTGTCTGTGGTTGTCAGGAGATCCTGCAGCAGCCAGCAGAAGGAGGCATGTGACTTGTCAGAGTCTACAGGGGCACTAGGACCCAAAGACCCCACCCCTTCCTTCCATGGCAGGACCTGGGGCTGGAGAGAAAGGTCACACGGGGACAGGTCCGTGGAGGAGACTGTCTAGATCAGAGGGATGGGCCACTGTCAGTAGGTACTGGGGCCGCTTGGGCTCATGGTCTCCAAATCACACCCAGGTCCTCTGCCTAATGCCTCGTCTCCCACTTGCATCCCTTGGGACCTCCCGAGTCCTACAAAAGTCCTTCTTCAACTCCATAACCTGTCCAGTTCTGCACAGCTGGGAACGGTGGCCAGGGGCAGGGAGCACACTATTTTGAAGTTGAAAGACATGAGGTCTGCATGGCTGTCACTGCCTGACAGGAAGAGGGTGTGGTGTCATTGCCTCTTATTATCCATTTGAATATCTTCCTTCCTTCCTTCCTTCCTTCCTTCCTTCCTTCCTTCCTTCCTTCCTTCCTTCCTTCCTTCCTTTTGTTGCTGTTTGAGACAGCGTTTCTCTGGGTAGCCCTGGCTGCCTGGAACTCTGTAGAGTTTGCCTTGAACTCACAGAGATCTGCTTGGCTGGGATTAAAAGAGTGTGCCACCACTGCCTGGCTGCCTGGCAATCCCAAGTGTGTCTGAGTGTCTCTGTGGGCCTGGGTTATCAGGTGTTGGGTGTCTATGTGATATCCCCATGCTGCGTCTCAGAAGCCCTATCTCCCTACCCCTTCCTGCCTTCCAGCATCAGGCCTTTTTACTCTCCGTGGCACTGGAGACTGGATTGTAGGAACAGAGGAAGCTGGAGACCACATCTGGACTCAGAAGGATCCCTGTTGGGCTGCCCACAGGGTGCTGAAGGGCAGACGCATTCATAATGAAAGCGCTGCCCTCCCGCCCGCCCCCAGTTGACCCACAGTGTGGCTCTGAGACCTTACCTTCAGGGCACTGTCTGTAAGCTCTGTTCTTGTCTCTGCTACCACGTTGGCCAGCAAGGTCACAGTGTGCAGCGTTTCTTGTAAGTCAGAGGGGGTGCTGACCACGTCTACCTGCCCTGGAAGCCGACTCAGGATGCATTGTACCTCCTCATCGGGCTTTCCCTGGCCTTCCAGCAGTAGCTGACAGAAAAGACAGTGGAAAATCCTTACCGGGGAAGGACCACATCTTCCCCGGCTCAGCTGCTTGTCCCTCTGCTCCAGAGTCCTCGGAAGACCAGCAACGGGCAGGTGGAAGGAACGGACTCTGATGTTAAGAGGACAGACACTCTTGATGGGGCTGTGGTTTGAGTCAGACATCCACCCCACCCCATCCCACTCCTGTCCCTGGAGGACCCACTCCTCCTTCCCAGGCCTGCTAGGGGTCCAGACGAGAGAGGCTGAATAACAGGTAAGCTGGCATCGGGAAAGATTCCTAAATCTGAATTCTGGGGGAAGGGGAAGGAGAGGAATGGAGGGAAGAAGGGCGGGAATGCAGGTAGGCATGTGGGCATGTAGGCAGGCGGGCAGACAAGCAGGTGGGCAGGCATGTAGGCAGGCGGGCAGACAAGCAGGTGGGCAGGCAGGTGCTGTTTGTTGGGAAAGTCATGGAGGTAGTAGCTTTACCTTGGCTCTAATACTCGTGGCTAGGATCTCGGCCTCTGTGCAGCTGTTCTGGACAGGCCCCCAGGTGCCATCAGGCCCACAGAGCCTCTTTACCATGCCCCTCTTATTCACAGGACACGGGGCCTGTGCCACGAAGCCAGCCTTGGTGACATTCCAGGCAACCACTGAGAAGTCCTCGGGGCAGGTAGTGTCTCCATCTGAACAAGGATCAGTGAGGCCTCAGCAGCCACAATATTGCCAGAGCCTTTGTTTTGACCCAAACCTATTTGGGCCTTGATACCTGGCTCAGCGGCCCAAGGCAGAGGAACAACAAAGAGGAGACCCTGTGTTCCAAGGACAAGCCGCTTAGAGGTCAGCTGACGGGACCCAAGGCCCACATACCCTGGATGATGGTGACGGAGACAGGAGCCACGAGAGGAGCCAGGTTCTGACTGTGTAGGGTACACGTATATGTGGTATCGGCTTCTGGGCAGTGCTCAACAGTCAGCACCAGGCATTGGGAATCCGAGAAGTTATGCAAGGAGGCTGAGGGTAGGAGAGAAGAGAAAGGTGAGCCATCACTGGCTGAAGCAGGCCAGAGCTAAGCAGGTCCCCAAATGCCACTTCAGAGCTGTCTTTGAAGATGAAGCAGTGAGGGAGAGCTGAATGCTATGTCAGCATCCAACCACTGGGTGCAGAATTTGGGTTTCACCGAAGTGCACACTATTGGGTCTCTAGCTCAGGCTTTTGTTTCAATATATTTTAAAATATTTGTTCTTGCTAAAAAGATTCACTTTAGTTTAAATAGAGAGAGAGTACGTGTGTATGTATGTATGTATATATGTGTATGTATGTATGTATGTATATATGTATGTGTGTGTATATTTATGTATGTATGTATCTTTGTGTAGATATATGCATGAACCGCAGTGCCCACAGAGTCCAGAAGAGGGCTTCAGAGTCCCTGGAGCTAAGAACTGGTCTTGGGTCCTCTGGAAGAGCAGCAGCAAGTGCTTTTAATTGCTAAGCCGTGTCTCTAGCTGCAGTGGCCTCCCTTTTAAAGATTTGTTCATTCCTGTATTTTATGCATTTGGCTCTGTCTTCATGCACACCAGAAGAGGGCATCAGATCTCATTATAGATGGTTGTGAGCCACCATGTGGTTGCTGGGAATTGAACTCAGGACCTCAGGAAAGCAGTCAAGTGCTCTTAACACCAAGCTATCTCTCCTGTGCCCCAGGTGCCTCTTTTTAAAAAACAGGATATTATTAAACTAAACTCATGGGATTTACTACAAGTGGGAGTGTGTCCTGAAAGGGTTCTATCAACAGAACAGGGATTGCGCTGGTGGGGTGAAAACGCTGAACATGGATACCCAACTCCGGTCCTGAACCACAGCCATCCTGAACCGCAGCCCGTGCTGCCTGGAGGGGCCGGCCACAGTCATCTTTGACCGTCTCCTACCTTGGCTGCCCTCCCCAGGACTCCAGGTAGCAGTGTAGGTCAAGTTAGTGAGGGGGATGCAGCAGCTCAGCTGGAAGCCAGAGGAGGAAGCACGGGAGATGGACAACTCATCTGGGAGCCGCACCACTTCTTTCTCCTCCAAGGGCACCTGCACCACCTGACTCAGCCTCCACCTGAATCCCTGGGCTTCGAAGATGCTCACGTACGAACCTGCAGAGACAGACCCATTCTACCTCGTGGCTTGCCGAGGTCTGCCTGCGAGACAGCTCTCCACTGCTTTCTGGGTCACAGCCCAGGCCCTCCAACTTCTCCTCCTCTGCTCAGCACCAGGAGCTTACTCCCAGCCAGAAGGTCCCAGGATGGATGGCCCATTTGGAGAACATCCCCTACCCAAGGAGAAAGAGATCTGTAGAAGAGGCTCTTGACCTGTCCATCTTAGCCAGCGCTGATGAACTCTAGGGTGAGCCTCTTCCCCACAGTGCTACCCCTTCCAATGCCACCCTCAGTTAGGATCTAGACCAGTGGTTCTCAACCTGTGGGTCATAACCCCTTTTTGGAGTAATGACCTTTCCACAGGGGTTGCCTAATACCATCAGAAAACACAGATATTTACATTATAATTCATACAAGTAGCACAATTACAGTTACGAAGTAGCACCGAAAACAATTTTATGGCTTGGGGTCACCACATGAGGAACTGTATTAAAGGGTCTCAGCAATAGGAAGGTTGAGGACCACTGCTCTTTTCTCAACCAGAACTGAGTGGTCTCAGCTTTTAGTATCCCCCCATACTATGAACTTTTAGCAGGAATTTTTTTTCCTGAAAAATAGTAACTATCAGATTAACATTTAATGGCCAATCGTGAGGCAGGAGCAAGGATGGGCGGGGTTGGCGGGCAGAGAGGATAAACAGGAGAAATGAGCAAGGAGAGAAGGACATCAGGGGTAGCCGTCCAGCAGCCCAGCCGCCCAGCCGCCCAGCCACCCATGGAGTAAGAGTGGAAATAAGATATACAGAAGTAAGAAAGATAAAAACCTGGAAGGAAAAAGTAGATGAGTTCATTTAACTTAAGAAAATCTGGCTAGCAACAAGCCAAGCTAAGGCTGGGCATTCGGAACTAAGAATAAGCCTCCGTGTGTGATTTACCTGGGAGCTGGGTAGCAGATCCCTCAAAAAGGCCAAAAGAGCAAAAACAAACAACATGTGTGTGTGCATGCACATGCATGCGCAAGCATGTTTGCTGTGTGGGTGGGCATGTGCCACTGCACATATGGCGGTCAGAGGACGATCTCAGGTGTGGGCACTTCCATCTTATTTGAGGCAGGCTCTGCTTGTTGTTTGATAGTACGTCCTCTGGGCTCTTTTTTTTTTTTTTTGGTTGATATGAGGTTTTATGTGGCCTCAAAGCCACTATGTTCTAAAGGGGAGAATCTTGAACAGCCCACCTTCCTGCCTTCACCTTCCGAGCACTAAGATTATAGGTGTGCATCACCATGCAGGATTTATGAGGTGTTGGGAATTGAACCCATGGCCTCATGCCTGCTGAGTAAACACTTTACCCACCAGAGCTATATCTGCAGCCTACGCACTGTCATTTTAATGTATAAAAGTCTGTTGCTCTGCATTTGTTCCTGTTGTGGAATATTAGTTTAAGATGTATTACATTTGCTTATGCTATGGAATATTTGCTTAATGATACAAGGATGTGTTGCATTCTTTTTTTTTTTCTGAGACAGGGTTTCTCTGTATTGTTTTGGAGGCTGTCCTGGAACTCACTCTGTAGACCAGGCTGGCCTTGAACTCACAGAGATGCCCCTACCTCTGCCTCCCGAGTGCTGGGATTAAAGGCATGAGCCACCAATGCCCGACTGTGTTGCATTCTCTTATGATGCATTTGTTTAACTCGGTGAAGCTGTGTTACTTTGCCTGTCTAAAACACCTGATTGGTCTAATAAAGAGCTGAATGGTCAATAGCTAGGAAGGAGAGAGAAATAGGCAGGGCTGGCAGGCGGAGAGAATAAATTGAAGGAGAACTCTAGGCTCAGGAGAAAAGGGGTGAGAAAAGGAAGAGGAGAGGAGGATGCCAGGGGTCAGCCACACAGCCATATGGCCAACCACAGAGTAAGAAGGAAAGATATAGAATAAGGAAAGGTAAAATGCCCAGAGGCAAATCGTAGTTAAAGAGAAACTGGATAATTTAAGTTAGAAAAGCTGGCTAGAAACAAGCCAAGCTAAGGCTGGGCATTCATAAGTAAGAATAAGTCTCTGTATTTATTTGGTAGCTGCGTGGCAGACCTTAAAGAGTTAAAAAAAAAAAACAACAACAAAATAGATGCTTCCTGTAGTGTCTGCAGCACACCATTCCCAACAAAGAAGCAAGTGACATCACCATCACGTCACCCCTTTTCTGTTTGTGTTTTATATCTTCACATGTCGGAACAAGATTGGGTTTTGTGAAGCTGAGAAAGGGTTTTCTGCCCTAGGATGGGGGTCTCTGCCTTTGCTTCCCCAGCAAATAGAAAGATGGCAAAGGTTGGGAAGAAGTGAACCGGAAGCAGAGGAAGAAAGGAAAGGAGACTCGCGAGGGAGCGGTGAGGGGAAGCAGAGGAAGAAGTGGGTGGTGCAAACCTGTAACCTCAGCACTGAGGAGGCCGAGACAGCCTGGGCTACAGAGTGAGACCCAGGGGAGAAAGGGATGGAAGGGACAGCTGAGGGTTACCTGTCCAGTGACGGGATAAGCCAGTGATACTAAGGCCAGTCTGGCCCTGACTGGACATCTGGGAGACGTTTGTCCCTGGCCGTAGGAAGGTGAGTTTGTCGCTCTCCGGGTGCTTCAAGTACCATCTCAGGTTGGTAGCCTCCTCTTTCTTCAAGAGAATGAGGTTCAGGGTGTCCCTGGGCATTTGCAGCTGAGAGTCCAGGATCAGGTCTGCAGGAGCTGCAGGGAATAAGAGACGGGTTTTGAAGGGCCTTAGCCAGCAGTCCCTCTTCACCTCCTGAAGCCGGGCTCTCTGCACCCCTCCCTGCACGACTTCCTTCCTGGTCATCAAAGATGTGTGGAGGTGAGTGCTACACTCAGCCTTGTTGACCCTCCCACAGAGAACTAGTGGCAAGCCTTCTGACCCTCTGACTCACGACTGCCACTTGACAGCGACTTGGGGTTGCTGCATCAGCTTTGGGAAGGGTCCCCCCTGCCCAGGTGTCTTCAGGGCCACCCACTTTCTTTAGTCTCATTTTTCAAGTTCCAAGCTCAGGTCTAGTGTCTTGCTGTGACAGCTGGCTTTTTTTTTTTTTTTTTTTTTTTTTGCGCCTAGCCAGAGGAGTAGCTGGGCTTGGACCAACTACCAGAAACACAGGTCCAAAGAAAAAAAAACAAAAACAAATAAAAACCCCACAAAGTGTTTTGTTTCTTTTTTTTTCTTCACTTGGGGATACTAGTTTCCAAGTCCCCCACCCTCCTTACCAGGTGGCAGCAACTGGCAGTAGCCAGGCACAGGACCATGGAAGCTTCGACACATACAGGAATCAGTTTCTGACGTGTGGCCGTGGCAGGTGGGATACAGGGAGCAGAGTGTAGCGTTCCACAGGTAGCCAGAGTGGCAAGTACAGAACCTAGTCCCGTTGGGGTTGACGTGACACTCTGTGACAGAGAGAGGTAGGCAGGCTAAGGAGGTGAGGCTGTGGGACCAGCAGCTGATTCCTGAGAGGTCTCAGGGCTGGCTGACATTAATCTTGAAGTCCCAGGAGATCAGTCCTACCCACCCAGCCACCCAGCCACCACCCAAGGGGACTTCCTTTGCAGCCAGGACTTAGAGTAGCAGGCCGTGCTGAACAAGGACACCTGGCGAAGTTCCCCACGCTGTGCCTGCCCCTTGTACCCTCTGCTCAAGTTAGAACAGTGAGGTGTGAACCGGAAGGGGCAGGGGCGGGGCTGTCATGTAAGGATTTGAGGAAGGCGCTGGGCCAGGGAGAGGGAGACAGGGAGAGCTCGCTGCATCTTGGGCAAGCTGGTTAGCTGGAGAGTTGGGAAGCTGTGTCTGTTCCCATTGAGCCCCTTTACCATGCAGCTGCTACCTGTTGTGAGACCCAGGGCGGTAAGCGTCCTTGGGGTAAGGGGTGTGGAGGCCGCAGGGAGAGTGAGGTTCTCAGGGAGTTTCTGTGGCCGGGTCCTGTTTGAAAATTCTAGCTGTACATAGCTGGAGACCAGGACAGACTCTACAGAGGCAAAGGGGACAGCAGAGGTGAGGCAGTGAGGCCCCACGTGACTCCCCTTTTGCCTTTACATATTCAGCTGGCCATTTCTGGGGACACAAGCAGATGTCATTTCCCAGAGCCTGCCTGGGTACACACAGGATGCAGGACCACTGCTCCTGCCCTAGCAGAGGTGCATTCTGGTCCATGGCTCCATGCCATCATTGCAAAGGTGCACGTCTCCCCTCCCATAGCCTGTCCTCTCTCTGTCCACCTTGCTGTGCCCCCTCCTGTGTCTTCCTTTCCGCTTTCCTGCCCCCCCACTCACCCTCTACTTTCTTGTTTTGGTTCAGTTCCTGCCCAGGTTTCCCTCCAGACAGTTTGAGTTCCTGGAAAGAGACAGAGGAGAGAGATCTGAGAAGAGGCTGGTCCCAAGTTCCTCCCAGGGCACCCCAGGGACAACCTGGCGACTCTGGCGTGACTTGGTCTCATAGAAGCTCTTTTTTAGCCTAGCGGCCAGATGTAAAGATCTGAAGGGAGAAAAGGCATTCAGAAGGAGAGGGACAAAGACACAATTCCAGGGACCCTGACAGGGCCAGCAGCCCCATCTGAAACCAGGAACCAGGCACACCCTGAGAGTCAACATGCTTTGCCTAGCTCCTTCCTGAATTTCCCTGTTCTTGGATCCAGTGCACCGGCAGGGAGGCAAGAGGGGCATGTAGTTTAACCCACTCTTTCCTCTCAAATTCTCATGGGCATGGGGCTCTAAAACCAGATGATAGCACATTTGCAATCCTAGAACCCAGGATACTGAAGCAGGGAGATGTGCAGAAGTTCCAGGCCAGCCTGGGCTACATAGTATGTTCCAGGCCAGCCTAGGTTACATAGTATGTTCCAGAACAGCCTGGGCTACAGAGTGAACCTTTATGTCGAAAACCAACAACAATCACCCCCAAAATATAAATGATAAAACCAAGCATGGTGGTTCATGCCTGTAAACCTAGCTCTTAAAATAATGAGGTGACAACATTAAGCTCAAGAGTTCAAGACCAGCCCAGGCAAAAAACAGTCTATAAATAAAACAAAAACAAAGTAAATAAAATTTGGTGGAGCCACAGATACAGATATAACATAAACGGATGTAGAGAAGGATAAGGTATAGATAAGACTCAGAGGAAGTTACAGATCACAATAGATTTGGAGATGTGGATAAGTAAATAACAGTATTGTGAGCCTCCTGGGAGAAAGCAGATAATACAAGCCTAGGCTCTACCACTTCCTCCCAGACTTTGCCCCGTCCTTTTTGCCAATGAGTTTCCAACCTGCGAAGATTTTCTTTTCATTTTAAAATGCCAGCATGAACAGAAAACCTTTATCTACAGGGCAGCAGGCGCCACAGGACTTGGTAGGGACTCAGATAAAGACACAAAAGTGTCCCCTCACCCAGGCCAGGAAGACTGGCTTCTTGGGGGGTCTTACAAGCTGATTCCTCCCCTCCACCTGTCCCACCCCTTCTGGTCCCTCAAGCTGAGGCTTTGGCTGTGGTCTCTGCAGATCTCTCCAGGGTCCTCACCCCAGTACTTACTGACTGGACTGTGGGGACAAATGTCGACTCCAGTTTCAGCAGGGGAAGCATCATGGCTAGGAGCAGTTGGGAGAGAGCTCGAGAGGCCATGGCTTGATGCAGCCGTCCCTAAAAGCCTCCAGCTGTCCCATGATGCAAATTTCCTCCCCCAGAGCTGGCACGGCTGGCACAGAAGGAAGGAAAAGAAAGGGTACAATGATCCAGGCTGAATTTACAGAGCAATTGCCACCGCCTGTGATTCAGTCAAATATGCTTCCAGGTCACTGGGGCCACCTGGACCCCACAGGACTGTGCCTGGATTCCCCTGGGCTCTAGACCAAGAACTCAAGGAGAAGGGGACACAGAAGCCAAGTCACAAGAAACAGTGGGTCACAGAACCAGGCTCATGCATGGTCCACGGAGCTAGGAAACTTGGATTGTTTTAGAATTCCTCCAAGAAGCTGGATCATTGATCCAAAAGCCAAGATTAGAAAATAATACAAAAGGGGGCAGTGGTGGGCAGTGGTGGCGCACGCCTTTAGTCCCAGGGCTCGGGAGGCACAGGCAGCCGGACTCCTGTGAGTTTGAGGCCAGCTTCGTCTACAGAGTGCGTTCCAGGACTAGCTCCATAGCTACTGAGAAACCCTGTCTGGAAAAACCAAAATAATAGTAATAAATACAGAAAAATGGGCCTGTTTCAGTGCCTTCTTTGGGCATGTTACACTCCCTCTGCCTCCACAGGTACATTGTTCCAGAAGCACTGTGAACTTACCAGCTTTGAAATGTGTATGGATTTTCATCATAAATACATGACTGACTGTTTTTGTTTGAGAGAGGGTTTATCTGTATAGTCCTGGAACTCACTCTGTAGACCACACGTTGGCCTTGAACACAAAGATCTGCCTGCCTCTGCCTCCTGAATGCTGGGACTAAAGGTGTGCACCACCACCACCTTCTGGCCAGGCAGGATTGGCTATTATTCACCAAATCCCCAACTCTTCTCTGCTCTCTGTTGGGTCAGGAGCAGGGTTGACATTTCCAAGCTTCTAATTACAGAGCTGGTTCCCCTGGTACCTTTCTTGTCACCCCCAGGAGCTGTACCTGTCATCTCAATAGCATATGAAAGGACATGCTCCACTATGGGGATTCCTAGCACTTTAGGAGCTACGTGCACAGAAACTAGGTAGATACCAATGAAGTGTGTGTGTGTGTGTGATGCACACATGCGTGTATGCTCATGTGCAATATGCCACAGAAAGCAATTCTTTCTAGGCCAAAGGCGACCCAGAGACAGGGAAGTGGTGGTAGCTAGACCTGGCTATGAGGCACTGACTTCAAATTCCTTTAAAAAGAGAGAGATTATTTCTAACATACCCCCAGGCTTGATTTTCTAATGAAAATGTCTTGACTGACAGGCCACACATTTTGAAGGGCTGTGCCTGCATAAAGAGTTAGGAAATCAGCTTTTTGAATCAGTGTTTGGTTGGACTTAACTTTCCCATGGCTTTTTTGTTGTTGTTGATTCCTTTGCTTGCTTTCTGTTTTCTTTTTTCTTTTCTTTTTTTTTTTTTTTTTTTGAGACAGGAGCTCACTCTGAAACCCAGGCTGACCTTGAATTTGTGATTGTAATCCCCTATACTGGGATTACAGAGATGCACCACCATGTCTGGCTTCCCTCTACCTTCTGAAGGCTCCCCAGGATAAACCGACAAAGATTACACAGGAGACAAAACATTCAGATTTATGACCTATTGGGGTATGGTTGTGTTGTGCGCCCCCTTTTATCCCAGCACTTGGGAGGCAAAGGCAGGTGATCTCTCTAAGTTAGAGGCCAGCCTGGCCTACATGGTAAGTTCCAGGGCAGCCAGAGCTATGTAGAGAGACTCAGTATCAAAAATAGGCACTAGAGAGATGGCTCAGAGGTTAAGAGCACTGCCTGCTCTTCTAGAGGTCCTGAGTTAAGAGCACCCACATAGAGGATCACATGATTCCTTCTTATCTAATGCCCTCTTCTGTCATGCAGGCATACATGCAAATAGAACACTCACATACATAAAACAAACTAATTTATAATCTGCAAAAAATTACTAAATGAGAAATATTCCAGGTGTGTGTTTTGTCTTCTGGGTCCAAGTGCTCACAAGTTTACACGTCTGTCTTTTTATAGGGGAGAGGTAGGAATGTCAGAACAGTACATGATTTTAGGTCTCGGAGAATATATGCTGGCTTGGGAAAAAGTCTGTTTTATAGAATGGACAATGGTTTGAAAATGATTCTGAGAGCAAACCAGAGGACATTGCTGGACCTGGGGTTGCCCAGGTGTGCCGGCAAACTTCAAGTCTTTCTTCTTTTTGATGCAAGTTAATAGAAGGTCTGGTGGTGACTGCTTCTTCTTGGGTGGGACTGAATTTCAGGAAGGTAGGGGGCTTTGTATAAAGCCCCTGTCAGCACTGGGATGGGAAATACAAGGGGAAATGGGAGGGACCTGAATTCTGAGGGGTCTCAAGGTGCTTCAGATTGCAAGGCACCAGGCGAGATGCTTTGTGACACTTTCTGGAGGGGTCATGTGGAAATTCCTGTCCTGTTGAGAACAGGACACACACACACACACACACACACACACACACACACACACACACACACACACACACACACACACACACACACACACACACACACACACACGATAACAATAAATAATGACAGACTAGACATACATTTCCCAGAGCCTAGTTTTGTTCTATGCTTATCTAAGCACGCAGTCAATGTCTGTTATTCTAACACTAGGTGGCGCTTCAAACTCAGGTTTGTACTAATTTTGCTGCAGTCTTAGTGCCTCAAAAAATAGAAATTTGATGGGTGGGAGGTGTGGACTCTGGGTAAAGGAGTAGTGTCTGTCACTCTGTAGGCAATACTTAATAAACACACTCTTCTCATCATGCTAGACTTGCATACGCAATTCTCATCATGCTAGACTTGCATACGCAATTCTCATCATGCTAGACTTGCATACGCAATTCTCATCATGCTAGACTTGCATACGCAATTCTTTGGGTTGCTGGCATCACCCAATTTGGAGGCAGACACTTACCCCGGTAATACACAAAACTGTTTATTATCTGTCCCTGCACCTAACTTATTTACCCTTTTAAAGGGATTATATACTTTATTACATTAATTGACTATAGTTTGGGTTTCCACTTAACTGGGAATTTGATTGCTTCTGTCTTCTGGGGCTATAAAAATGGCTCACGTCCTGCTATAGGAAAAACATTTTTTTCCTAGCCTCTCAACGATCAACACTTCTGACATCAGGTGGGCAGGATGTTCTCTGTCTACATCAGCAGGCATTCATTTCTGTAACAGGTTCTGCATTTCTAAATGCATTCACTTCTGATCCTGTCTGCCTGAAGATACCTTCAGACCCCCAGGGCTCACCCTACAAGGCTGCTGCCCACTCTTGGTGCCAATCTCAGGCCCCTGCTGTTTTGCTCATGCTTTTGACAACCCAGTACCCAAGATTTCCATGACACCTGCCTTGGATTCAGTTAATTTGCTGGAGATGCTCATACGTCAGAGAAGCACTTAACTTCTCTTTATCTGGGTATTGGCCGTTTGTACAATGAAGAGACACAGGAGGCAAGAGATGTGGGAGGTATTCGGAGCTCCCCTCTTCTCTTTGCATATACCAACTTCAGGACCTCCACATGTTCAGCAATCTACAAGCATCCCAGACCCAGCCCTTTGGGGTTTCAAAGGACGTTTCATTATGTCGACATGATTGATTGACTCACTGGCCATCAGTGATGGGCCTGTACCGCTTACCCTTCCTGAAGGTTGAGGATAGAGGCTAAAAGCCCCGCCTCTTTACTGTATCTTCATCCTGCTAGTGACCAGCCCTTATCCTGATGCTACCCGGGGTTCCCCAGCTACCAGTTTTCCATCAGCACATCAGAAAGACAGTTCACAATGTCACAAGCAACAAAAAACAAGTTGTTTTTTTCCCTCTTGGGTTATTTCCTAATATTGTACCATTCTACCGAGAGTATGAATGAGAATGAACACTGCTTTAATGCTGGTGTCACCTCACCTCTATGAAAGCTTACCGAGGCCTCTTGAATATGAGACACTGTGCAAGGCCCAGGTGTACTCTGTGGCTCTCCACAGACGAGAGGGCAAACGAGACAAGCAGGAGAGGCTGAGGGAGTACAGACGGACAGGTCCAGGTGGGGCAGGGTGGGAACTCAGACAAACGCTTCCCTGCAGTTCCCGAGAAGCAGAGGTAGGATGCTTGAGTTTGAGGTTAGGTAGGGATAATTAGTGAAACCATGTTGGTTTTATTTTTTATTTTTTCAAGTTTGGGCTAAATGTGGTGACCCACGCCTTTAATCCCATCACTCAGGAGGCAGAGGCAGGTGTATCTCTGAGTTCAAGACCAGCTTTGTTTACAGAGAGAATAAAGAGAATTCCAGGACAGGCAAAGCTTTGAAAAAAAAAAAACAAAGTTTTGGGGAGGGAGGTAAATGGACAAGATGGATCCTGAAGTTTGAAGGCTCAGACAGAGTTAATTGGGCATAAACAGATGAATGCATTGTACACACAGAGCTGTCTGAGATTAGCGAATAGTCCTGTATTCCAGGGAGATTGTGTGTGTGTGTGTGTGTGTGTGTGTGTGTGTGTGTGTGTGTGTGTGTGTGTGTTGGGGTGTTCCTGCGTGTGCATGTGAGTGTGTCTGTGTGTTGGGAGCGTGTTCCTGGGTGTGTATGTGTGTGTGTTGAAGGAAAGACTCCTAAGAGCAGGCTTAGAACCTCGAGTAAGTACAGCTCAAGGGAGATCTGTCTTCTGCAGACACATAATAAAAATAACGAAAGTAAACCTTAAAAATAAACAAACCAAGATTACAAAGGAAGCGGGGATGGGATCTCTTCCTCCTCACCAGGGCTGGCTTTGTGGTCTGTTTTGCCTGAGGAATGACTCAGCAATGATGTATAGTCCTTTTTTTTTAAATTAACTCTTTCAGTGCTGGGCAGTCAAGCCAGGGCCTTACACTCACTACAGAGATGCTTGGTGCTGAGCTACAATGCCTGGCCCTGACATGGGGAACTTCTAAGAGGACGTTTTCAAAGGACCAGTTTTGTTGAAGTATGACTAACAGATAAAAAACGTGTTTGTCTAAGGTATGTGAAATGATTGTGATTTATCAAATAAGACTGGAGGAACTGTTCCACTAAGTCCAACTCAAATGGCTGATCCATGGGCTTATAAGCAAATATAATAGGTGCCAGGGATGAATTTTAGGTTATTACGTTTTGAGTGATTTTGTTATACTATTAGAAAACCCCTTCTTCCTTCCTTCCTAGTCTCATAATGTGGCCTGGCTTAGCCCTGTGTAGCTCAGTATGGTCTTTAATTTATGGTGATCCTCCTGCAGTAGCTTTATTACTGCAGCAATGAGCCACATGCTCTGCTGTCATTTATCTTTTAAAGTGAGGTGGCTTTTTGTTTTGTGTGCATGCCATGTTTTGTTTTACTGAGACAGTTTCTCTATGTAGCCTTGGCTGACCTTGTATTTCTAATCCTGCTGCCTCTGTCTACTGACTGTTGGAATTATATTTATGTACTGCCACACCAGGATTATGGTGTATTTTCTTGTAGTTTTTATTTACTGATGTGGCAATATGAAGAGCTAAGGATCATTAATAAATTTATAAAAAAATTTAAGATTTTTATTCGTGTGCTCACATGTGTGCAGGCATATGTGCTTGTGTGTGTATGTGTGTATATGAGTGTAGGTACCTGCAGAGGTTAGATGTATCAGATCTCTTGGAACCAGGGTTACAGGAGGTTGTAGGCCATCTGAAGTAGGTGCTGGTAATTGAACTTAGGTCCTCTGCAAGAGCAGTACATGCTCTTAATCACTGGGCAATCTCTCTAGCCTTCATTCATAATTTAAATAGTTATCTCTGTATCCCATATTTTAATTATTCATCAAAATGCTAAAGTTAACACTTGGAAGATCTCAAGAGTATTAATTTGAAGTCTTTTCCAACTATGGTCCCAATTCCCGTCTCTGTGTTAGAAAGTGCTTCTCTGTGTTAGAAGGTGGATCTTACTGTCACCTGTCACCGGGAGAGGAGGGGAGGGCAAGGATGGAGGGGAGACTGGTGCAGGATGGAGGCGGCTCTTCACAGGATGCAGTGGTAACCCACTGCTGGGACCATGCGCTACTTTACTCTGCTACTTTACTCCCGTCTCTCCAGTCTTTGCGCTATCTGTAGCTAGCACATGGTTACTATCTGAGGATACATGAAGGAGTTAGGCAATCCTTACCTTTACACATTGTTTCATAGTCCTGTTCTTATTTTCTGAGTGTAAAGGCAGTCTAAACTTGCATTCTGATTAAGCAAGCTAAATAGCCCCGGGGCCAGCAAGATCATCTCTGAGCTTTACTTTGTAGCTATTTGTGCTGGCAATCTTGTGGCTTCAATGACTGCCCCTGCTTTTCCAGGAATCCTAGTGGAAAGTAGCAAAGTCCCCCACTCTCTTCCTTCACTTGGTTTTGTCTTCACTCTTGCCACTGACTTCCACCCAAACCAAAGGACCACGGAGCCAACCACCTCAAAGGTTCATGAGGATAAAAATGAACACAGAAAAGAAAATGGAATGACAGTGGCTACATGTGGCTCTACCGGCAGGGCTGGTACTAGATGGCATTAGGGCTTGGAATCAGAAGTAAAGGAAGGCACCCCAGGGCCGATGGCTGCATGGCAGGCACCACGGCTCCCCATATGAAACGTCTGTGCTGGAACTCCACGTGGGTACAGCTAAAATGGGGAGGAATACGTGGGGAGGCGGTGGGTATCAATTACTTCTTTGTTCATAGCATGCAGCTGCTCACTCTCAGCACTTCAAAAAGCTGACGGCTGAATCGTTCTGCATACAACTTTGAGATCAGTTGTTAAGATTCCATTCGTTTACTCTTGTGTATATGTGAGGGTGAGCAAGGTGTGTGTGTGTGTGCTCTCAGGATAACTTTTGGGAGTTCATTCTCTCCTTCTACCATGTGGTTCAGGTCACCAGGCTTGCATGGTAAATGCTTTTGCCAGCTGGACCACCTGCCTGCCTGACATCAGTTTGAACTCTTCTTTTATTTAACAGCCGTCCTCACCAATAATGCTTGTAAGAAACAATTGCTCACCTTTCAGACATGAATGGTAAGTATGTGGGTCTAAGTAAATTCTTGTATCTGTGGCTTTCATACTGAGACTGATTTGGGGAGCACCCTCCCTGAGTTTCTGGGCAGGTGTTAAGACATTTATAATGTGTAAAGAACCATTATTGATGTTAAAATGCTCTTACTAGTCAGGTGGTGGTGGGGCATGACTTTAATCCCAGCACTCGGGAAGCAGAGGCAGGGGGATCTCTGTGAGTTCAAGGCTAGCCTAGTCTACAGAGTCCCAGGACAGACTCTAAACCTATACAGAGAAACCCTGTTTTAAAACAACAACAACAAAAACAAAAACCCCCAAACAAACAAATTTCCTTTTTAAAAACGCTCCTGATGTCAGTTTTCCTGTAAATAAGCTGGAATTTTAGAGGACTGGGTAGTTTGACCTCCTGACTGAGAGCTATCAGATACCTACCTGGTACCCTCGATGCTTCAGGGAAGGACAATCAACCAGGCGGCTAACTGATTGCCCTCAGACTAGCACTTGAGGACGCCACACGGCAACCCAGCTGCTTGCTGTAAAATACAGCTTTACCTCCTGAAGATGGAACCGAGGCACAATTGTTTCAGTTTGTGTTGGATTTTTCTGTCCTCTCAAGTCTTGGTGAAATCTAGATGATCCTGCAAGCACCACCCAGGACAGGAGGGGCATCTCCCCTTGTGGCATGGCAGAGAAACTTCTGTGACTGGTGCCAGGACAATGCCATGGTTAGTGTGACCACAGTCCTCAGGAAGGTCTATCACAGATACCACTCTTCTAGCCGTTCGGTTCAATTCGGGAACCGAAGTGTGGTCATTCTGTGCTGCCCCACTGTTGTTCCAAGGTGAGGCCCAGCAACAGGTTCCTCCCAAGCTGTCTTTGTGGCTCACTTCTGATCTTGGTCTTTGACTGGCTGTGAAGAAAGCTGAACCATGGCAGCTGAGCCAGTGGCAGCAGTGACAGAGGTGATGGCTGCAAGAGGGAGCTGACTGGAGAGCGCCGGGGGACAGTTAGAAACAGCTGGCAACCACTGCAGTACAAAGGCTTCCAGAGTAGACAGCTGAGGAAGATGGGAAGCTTAGCTGGACCTGTGTGCACACTTACAAGGCTTGCACTCAGGAGCTGAGGCGGTACTGTGAGCTTGACTCACGTCAACAAGAGCCAGGCTAGCCTGAGCTACATGGTAGACCCTACCTTAAACACTCAAACACACGCATGCACGGCCCTGGCCACTGGAAAGTTCCAGAGAGCCATCAGAGATTATAAGGGCCACAGGTCTCAAATATTGTGGGTCCCAAAGGCTATGATGCCCAGTCTTTTTCAGGGCTGGGGAATCTCAATGCCTTAAGCCTGAAAGTTGTCAATTATGCACCATCAATGAGTAGGAACACCAACGTTTTAGACCTGCACCAAAGCTCAACATTTGTCATCATAAGGCTAAAAAAGGTCACAGTACCTAAGGTTCCCTGCATGAAAGCAGTAACAAAGGAAATCACCTTCACTGCTGTTGCTTTCAGCCGCGCTGCCGCTGAGTTAGGAAGGGCGCCAAGTGCTAGCTCTGAGCATGCTTCTCACCTGCCTGGAATTTCTACCTGGGTAGAGAGTAAAGGGCCCTCAACCAGGTGATTGCTAAAGGCATCAACCTGGGCCTCTGCCGCCCTCTGAACTGTCACAATGCCTGCCTTGGATCGAATGATTGCTCACAGTTCTGGTTCAGGGCCTGGGAAAACAAAACTGGCCCTAACATCATTGGGAAGCCGGTGGACACGTTACAGTCCTTCTCCACCATCACGAACAGCAATAGGAGGTGCTAGCCAATGTCATCTCTCAGTGTACTCCACGCACTATGGAATGGGGGGTATAAACCCCTCAGAGTTTCCTATACCTTCTTACATCGGAGGATTATTGAAAACTAAAAGGGGGAAAAAACAAGTAGGCAAAATCCTACTTGAGCTTTATCACAGTCAAGGAATTTTTTTTCTCCCCCAACAGGGTTTCTCTGTGTAGCCCTGGCTGTCCTGGAACTTGCTATGTAGATGAGGCTGGCCTCCAACTCAGCTATTCACCTACCTGTTTTCTGAATGCTGGCATTAAAGGTGTGCATCACCAAATTTCATTTAACAATAAAGAATGTCTGTTTGACTCTTTCCTAGTCTCCTCCTCTGCGTGCCTTCGCCTTGATTAGAAGCAGCTGGCTTACACGGTTTGGCAATGGTGAGTAGTGGTAGAGTATTAGTAATGTGTGAGGCCCCAGGTTTGATGTCTATCACTGGAAAACAACTAGACATATTGTTTTTTCTAACACCTTATCACGGTAACTTGTATGATCCAGTGGAAAAATTATTCAACTCAAAGTGGAAGTTTTACTACAAATTGAATAATTTGGAGGCAAATATATATGACTTCTCTTTTGTTCTAGTCTGTTCAGTTGGAACAACCCTCTGGCCCCTGGTTCAGAGTTGTTAGGGTGAACTAGTGATGCCCACTTGCTTTGAGAATTGGTGGTGGTATGGGTTGGGGTATGGGAACTGAACCCAGAGCCTCTTGCATTTAAGGTTAAGTGCTGTAACCCAGCCAAGGACCGTAAAACTTATGAGCCATTACCTTTTATTAGTGTATTATTTTTGTGCTGGAGTTAATATTAAACCCAGGGCTTCATGCATATGAAATGCTCATGCTCTACCACTGACTTGTACCTCAGGCCCTAATTTTATTTCAATTTATTTAAATTAATTCTTTTTTAAAAACAAGGTCTCATATTGTAACTCACGCTGGCCTCAAACTTACAGCAGTTCTGTGTTGGTTTCCCCAACCATACACACATACCCATACCACACACATAAAGATAACAAAAGTCTTTTAAAAATGCAAAGTGCTCTTTAAAGCACACTTACTAAATTGCTTTTGAGGCAGGAGGGTCATGAGTGTAAGGTCAACCTTGGCTAAAGTGACCACCTGCTTCAGCTTCCCATCAAGTGTATATCACCATACTCTGCAGGGGGAGGGGGTTAAGAGAGAAAAAAAAAAAAAAAGAAAGAAAGGCAGGTGGATCTCTGTGAGTTCGAGGCCAGCCTGGTCTACAGAGCAAGTACCAGGACAGCAGGGCTGCACACAGAAACTCTGTCTCGGAAAAACAACAAAAAGAAAAAAGAAAAAATAAAGAAAAGAAAAAAAGCCACACTGTCTTAACAAGTGTAGTTTGTATATTATTTTTAGCTTGCACCATGTCACTTTTTGTTTTTGTTTGTGAGACAGGGTTTCTCTGTGTAGCTTTGGCTGTCCTAGAAAACTCTGTAGATCAGGTTGGTCTTGAGCTCACAGAAATCCGCCTGTCTCTGCCTCCTGTGCTGGGATTAAAGGCATAAGCCACTACCACCCAGCTACTATGCCACTTTTTAAAAAATTCTTTTTTTTTTTTCAGGACAAGGTTTCCCTGTAGCTTTGGATCCTGTCCTGGAACTTATTCTGTAGACCAGGCTGGCCTTGAACTCACAGAGATCCGCCTACCTCTGCCTCCTGAGTGCTAGGATTAAAGGCCTGTGCCATCACTACCTGGCTAAAAGTTAATTTTGTGTGTATGTGTGTTTGCCTGTATGCATGTCTGTGCACCATGTGCATGCAGTGCACCTGGAGTCCAGCAGAGGGCATCAGATCTCCTGGAACTGGAGCTACAGATGGCTGTGAGCCACCATGTGGTTGATGGGACTTGAACTCAGGTCCTCTGGAAGAACAAACAGCCAGTGCTTTTAGACACTGAGCCATCTATCCAGCCCTATCATGTTACTTTTAAATGGTTTTCCACAAGTAATTAAAATATGTTAAGTATGACGTTTGTATTTCTGATGGAATAGTACAAGGCTTATATTAAAACATTTGATGGCAAGATCCTCTTCCTTTTTATATTGACGAGAAGAAATACACAACAAAGATTTTTATCTTAGTTTAACACATACTTTATACGCATCATCTCATTAAGAATTGTACACTTTAGAATTGGGTGTGGTGGCTCACACCTACAATCTTAACACAGAGACAGAGATAATATTTGAGGTTAGTCTGGGCTGTATAGTGAGTTTCAGGCTAGCTGGGACCCTGACTCAAAAACGACAACCCCACTCATATACACCCGCTAGGCTTTAGAAGGGAAGATACAGCTAAAAACTGGACTCAGCATATTTTAGGTCATAATAAGTACCTGTTAAGTGAATGACTCTAAGGAACATAAAAGGAGATTTCAAATTAATTTCCCTTATTTCAGGAACTAGGGAGACCGAGGTAGTGATTTTATTGGTCTGTATTTCTAATTGGGTTGATCATTTCCAACCAAATAAATTGTCTCTGGAGAGGTAATGTAATCTGAATTTTATTTTCTGGTACTGGAGATAGACAACTCCAGGCTTTGTGCTAAACACCTCTTATCACTGGGTTGGCGATAATGTATGCAAAGTTCTCCGCAGGTTGTGCATTCAACTAAAAAGTAGCAATCATTATTAAACATTTCCCATTATCAGACACATAGTAACCACTGAGGACCTGTTCTTTCTGCAAAGCCCTGGGATCTAGCTGGGTTAAAAACCACTCCTTGCAAACACAGCCAAGGCCCCGTCGAGATTGAGACACCAATGGTTTGTTTTATGGAATTCGCACCGTATCGAACCGGTAGGATACGACGGGGCAGTCCAAGGTTCACGCGCCGACACCGCTCAGAGGCGGGCGGGCTCCGATGGCTTCCAGTCTCCCGTTCGCCCCGCAATCAGCATCCACTCGGGCTCCCGAGGCTCCAGGAACTCGAAGCCCGCCGAGGCAGGCACCCGGCCCCACCCTTCCTCCCGAGCTGCCGCGCACACACTCCCCCAGACCTCAAGTTTGTAAGGAAACCCCACACAGTCACCCCCGAGGGTCCCATTACCAGAGACGAGAGCAAGGCCTGCTGGGAAAGTTGACCTTTCACCTCTCTTCTTACTCCCGCTCACCTATTTGACTCCAGCAAATGAATCGCCGAAGACAGAGGGAGGGCGGGACTTGGCGGTGGCCAGTCCATGCCGATTGGGTGGAGGTGGCGCTAGGGGCGGGCCGTGCGAAGGGCGGTGTCCCCCACCCGAGTGGGCGGGAGCCGCGGGGGGCCGCGCTTGCGCGCTGGGTCGGCTACGCGTGCGCGGTGGGCGGAGCGCGCCTCTACCTTCCTTACCAGCCCAGCCTTCCCCATCCCTGCAGAGTGCCGTGTGCTGCTCGCCTTTCATCGCCCGGTCGCAGAGAGTCGCTGCCGCTGCGGGGTGGGCGTCGGGCTTTCGGGTCGTCATGGCTGGCTACGAATACGTGAGCCCGGAGCAGCTGGCCGGCTTTGACAAGTACAAGGTAGAGAGGGCGGGCGGGCGGGCGGGCGGCCACCCCTCTCCCCCTCGCCCCGGCCGCGCCCTGGCGGCTGAGGGGCCGGCGCGGTCCGTGTCACCTTGTGCCTGCCGCGTGGCGCGCCGGCGGGCGTTGTTGCGGAGATCCTAGGGGGGCTCGCGGCCGGGGAGCGGGGGATCATCTAGGCCCGCCGCCGGGTCTCCGCACCCCGCGGGAGGCTGCCTTTCCCCGAGAGCACCAGGCGGGGAGAGGGGAGAGAGAGAGAATTCCTCTCTCACCTTTTCCTTATTACTTGTCACTGCTGTGCCTTCTCAGCCTCTTCTAGAGAGGGTGCCGTCCCCTTCAGTGTCCTTCTGCTGGTCTTCGTTTGAATGAACTTCTCACCCGCCTGTCAGTGCCCCAACTTCAGAGACCGGGATGGTCCTGTGGCGGATGCTAAGGGAGGGGAAGCGACTTCTCCGGGCCTCGATGCAGATGCGCTCCACCCTGCCCCTGGAAAGAGGCTTCCACCGTGGCTCGTGGCGCTGGCGCCGCTTGCTTGGAGCACTGTGCACTAGAAGGAACCGTGTAGTGCAAAGAGCGCGCAGGCTTTCGAGTACGCAGAAACCCGATGCCAAAGTCAAGTTTCTGTTTGGCTTTGGACCACTCAGCCTTTCTTTTGGGTTGATAGCTCAAGTGTGAGCTTCTGTCATGCTTAGCCGATTGTAAATGGTTGAAGACAGTCTGGAACGTAATGAGCCCCCAGGAAAAAGTGATGCTTTTCACCCCGATTTAGTACTGCCACCAGGGAACCACTTGCCATCTAGCCTCCTTAGCCTGAAATAATGGGCTTCAGTGTTTTATCTTTGCTAAGCCTTTCCTGAGGCCAGTCTGTTCCTTTATGAAATTAATGTGCCTGTTGAATAGAGAATAGAACATCCAGCGACGAGGCATGGCCACACCATGGTGCTACACTGCACAGTTGGCACCCAAACATTTGTGCAATGAATGAGTATCTGGTGGTGGTGGTGGGAATCTTGATTTTGTTTAACTGAAATATAAAAACTCCGAGGGGCTGCTTTGAAGCAGCGTTGGACCACACAATTCTGAACTGAGGTGGTGACTTGCCTTAACACTGTAGCTGGGAAGAAGTTCCAGAGCCTAACTTGGGTCAGGGCCCTGTAACTTGTGTTTCACAAGGCTATTACTACCTCCTGTTGTGTCTTCAGCTCCCCCCTTTTTAGTTTAGTATCTATTCTGCACTCTATAAAGAGTGACAGCTAAAATATTTTCTTACCAGAGCAAGTTTTTATAAAATAGCAGTAGCATTTACTTAGTGAGCTTGTTTTCCTTACAGCCTTCTCTAGGTTTATATTTTCTGCTAGACTGGAGTCCTTCTTTATCAGACATTTCAACGTGGTTTTCTGTGTCGATCCTTTCCTCCCTTATCTGATTGAGTTCCTGTATCTGACAACATGTTTCCTAGCATCCTGGAAAACAAAGGTCAATTTAGCAAGTGCTCTAACGTTTGTTCACCAAAATAGTTTGTTGATGTCATTGTAGTTACAATGAGCCTTTTTTTGGGGGGGTGGGGAACACACCCAAAATCAAATACAAATTTGTTACTTTAACATTTTTCTAGTAGAAGGAGGTAACAGCATACCATGTTCCTTTTAAAAGAATGAATCAGAGGTGTCCAAAGGAAAGAATATGTGTGGTCAGTCTTGTTGGCGTGGGAGTTACACACAGAGATCTTTTCTTTCTCGTTGCCCTCTCACTGTGTGGTCTTTACAGCATTATGGATTAAAACAGCACCCCCAGATGTGCAATCAGCACTCTTAAAGAGGTTTTTAGTCTCCGCTGTGACCTTCTGTAACCCAGCAAAGATATAGAGGAAAAGTGAACTCCTAGAACAGCTGGTGGGAAAATTGCTTTTGAGCCAGTTGAATTTCTTTATCGTCCCTAGAGGTACATCTGAGAGCTGCCTGTGGGAACCTGGCATTTTCACAGAGCAGCTGCCGAGAGCGGTGCACGCAGAGAGCTCGTTAGGTTTCTGCAGCAAGAAAGGGGTGATTTTCAGTACAGAAGAAAGCCTGGGGTGGACTCTGTTCCACAGACTCCCTTAATACTCCTGTCTTCTGGTGGAGTGTGTAACACAGTCCTACTCAGTAGTTAGTTTTTTAACTAGTTGAATGCCTGCCTTCTGTGTTAGGACAGGAGCTCTAGGTGGGCAGGGCTGATAGCGGTCATGTTCAACACGATCAATGTCTCCACAGCATCCTGAGCCAAAGAGATGCCCAGTAAATACTGGAGGAATGAAAATGGAAAGAATAGAAGGTATTTAAGTATGGTAAAAGTAGCTGTGCATGTGGGGCCTGGAAGGCTTCTTTTGAATTTTCACTTTGAATGTGAAGGTGCCAATTTAGAAGTGCAGTTGTTCTGCTCTGTTGCCGTAATAGCAGCCTTAACAGTTGTGTTAAAGCATTCTGCCTTCATGAGGGTTATTATTCCTTTCCTCTACTCGCTATTTTCCCCTTTCCTCTTGTTTATACTACACAGACACTTATTGTTGAGGGACTCTGTACTTTTATGGGTTAAACTGTTGTAGTTTGCTTAGTCAGACCTGGGGAAGGCACCGTTTTAATTTATAGTGTTGCAGCTAGTGTCACATTGTGTCTTTGTGCTTTAAGAGGGGAATGAGCTAAATATCTTGCTTGGTTTCAAGAGTAGAATTTCAAGAAAAGATTTCTGCTGTTGGGGTGTTAATTAACATGACTGATGACAACAACTTGATACAGGGACTGTAGTTATTATCCTTTTTTTGTTGTTTGTTTTTTGAGACAGGGTTTCTCCGTATTGCTTTAGAGTCTGTCCTGGAACTCGCTCTGTAGACCAGGCTGGCTTCGAACTCACAGAGATCTGCCTGCCTCTGCCTCCCGAGTGCTGGGATTTAAAAGCTTGTGCCACCAACACACGGCTAAAAATGTGTGGCCCAGGCTGGCCTTGAACTTGTGATCCTCCTGCCTCCGCCTCCTTCAGGAAATCTTATCGGCGTGCAACACCACAACAGTGTTATTGTGAATTTATTGCTATTACAGTTAAGAAGTTGTAAAGGGAAACTGTGTTTGCATCTTGATAGCAAAGCCAGAGAACCAGAATTCAAACTGGCATTCGGTCTTCCTGGGCCACACCATGTAATTTTATGTATTTGGCAAGCATTTATGGGAGATCTGCTCATCAGGCACAGCACTGGGGTTGCAAAATGAGGCTAAGTTGAAATTCCTGACTTCAAAGAGCCCAGTCGGGTGGCATAGGGATGGGTAGACAAACCTTTATAAACAGCGGAGACAGGTCGTTAGTTCCAGGTGCGGTGGAAGAGGACAGGAGGTGGCACACACCGATGGGGTGACAATGGATGTTAGATCTGAGGATGACTTCAGAGGTGATGGGAATGAGGCCAGGCCAGTATAGACAGATGAGACCTGAGTAGAGAGAATGCAGACAGGAAAAGGCATCTTCTCAGAAGGGAGCCATGAGATGAGCCCAAGAGGTTTTCTGAGAAGCACAAAATAAGGTGTTTGAGAAGAGTGGTGGCATGGCAGGTGACACTTGTGAGGAGCAGTGTGGGAGTGATTTTGTTCTGTGGGTTAGTGTTTGTGGCCCACATTTATTTGCATCAGAGTCACCTGGAGTGGGGGATGGTGATTCCGATGCCAGTATAAATCCTAGGAAATGTTGACGGCCTGAATGTTATGGCAGTGGGGACAGAGGAGAGGGAATAGAGATTGTCCGTGTCTATGTCCCAGTGTGATCACTTGCTGTGGTATCCAGGCCTGTACCTCCGTGTCCCCCAAAGGAGCAGAGACCTCCTTCTATCCTGTCTTTCTCCTTGACAGCCTCCATCTGGAGCCCAGCCAGCTGATCTTCCTGCCTCAGCCTGCCTAGTTCTAGGGCTGCAGGCGTGAGCAGCCACACCTGGTGAGGGTGAGGAGCTTCTAAAAAGAAAGCTCAGACTGGACTTATCCAATAAATACATTTCCTTTGGTCCTTTCTTTGTCTTAAAAACAAATCTTTCCCATAAAAGTTCAGATTTCCAGATGCTCTTGAAAAATCAGACTGTTGGGCAACTCTGTGCTTGAACTTCCTCTCCCAGTTCAGGCTCAGTGCTTAACTTCTTTTACAACGGTATAGGGCTGGGTGCGATTGCTCACACCTGTGAGGCAGAGGCAGAGCCAGGTGGGATCCTGTGAGTTCGAGGCCAGCCTGGTCTACAGAGTGAATTCCAGGCCAGCCAAGGATACATAGCGAGAGTCTGTCTAAGAAAAGGGAAGGGATATATGGCCGGTTGAGGAGGCACATGCTTCTGTGACTCTGACATTTTTGAGGAGGTGACAGGGGATCAAGGGCAGCTTCAGAAACGTAGCAATTTTCAGGCCATCCTGGTTACTGTGAGACACAGTCTCAAACAACAAGAACAAAATGGAAAAACCTCTAAAAATCATAAATAAGTAAGTAGAGTATGTACTGTCCAGTTTGCCGTTTCCCTGCTGGTTCATGTATCTCGTATAGGTCATCTTTGTTCATTTGACCTTCTCCACCCCGACTTAAGAGTGACAGAACATGGTAACTGCCTGAGTTGCTGGGTGTGGTATCTGGGTAGGGGAGGGGCACATAAAGGGTAAGGAGAAGCTGGGTGACTCGGGATCTGGTAGGTAGGTGGACTAAGTAGAGGAGGTAACTCTCACGTGAGACAGGCTTTTGTGAAGCACTCTATTGTAATGCCTTAAAGAAAATCCTTTATTATTTTTGTGTGTAATGGGGTCTCTCGTAGACCAATCTGGTATCAAAGTCTTATATAACTGAGAATGCCCTAGAACAACTGGTCTTTCTCCCTGTCCCTCCCAAGTGATGACAGGCCCTATGACTTTATAGTAACTTTTGGGATAAGGCATTTTTTTGGATAGGTATACATGAAAGTATAGTTTGTGGATTTAGAAAGAAAACAGAGCTAACTGTTCTAAAGAACT